TTCCCCAGGAATCGGTAGCCTCTAGTAGGATAGTCTAAACTCCGTATATTAGTATTAGTCGTTAGTTTATAGCGTAGATAAAAGGTCCTAAAAGCTTTGCTTATTAGAACTTATAGGTCTTAACGAATTCGAAGCTAATAAGGTCGACCTTAGCTCTACTATTAAGATCCGTGTAGGTTTCGAGATTATTTCGTATAGTGATCGGTATATAGAACCGAGTCCGTGTTCCTACTATAGGGAAAGACGAAGGCGTAGGGTTTACTCTATCTCGCTACCGTTTCCCTATCAGGCGCTCTATATAGTAGTAGGTTTTTCGCTCGAGCGCTTCAGGTAGGTATTAGCGTAGTGATCTAGGCTACCGTACTAAAAGTATATATTTCGTTTCTAGCCCTCTTCGGTAGGGTTCCGATAGTCCTTCGTAAGTATTTCGTGGGCCGTTAGATTGTTATTATTACTTTTCCGGCGGCTACCCCCTTAGTAGCTATCTCTATATCGATCTCTATAGCTATCCCTCCTAGGGTAAGGGAATCTTCCTTATTCTCCTATAGGATTCTAAGGGAATTCCCTTTAGATTTTCTTCTAAGAGGGTTCTAGTAACCTTCTATTGCGTTTTCGCTTACGATCCTCCTCTATTTTGTTTATATCCTAGAAGTAGTAAGCGATATCGATTATATCTTCGCGGGTTTCTAGTAATTTAATTATATAGTAGCGAATAGTATTCTAGAGCGGATACTAGAGCTTCGTAAAGTAGGATAGGACTCTCTCCTTCTCGGCCGACCGTAGGAAGTGCTATTCTAGCGTATCGAGACGCGTATAGAACTCGCGAGGGTCCTCCTCTCGGTATTAGTAGGTTCTCTCGAGCTACCCTATTATATCAGATTCGAGACTAGCTATATTCTTAATAAGGGTTAGGGTCTAGTCCCTAAAATAGGGCTAATCCTCCTTAAGGTTTTAAGGGGTAGTCGATCCCTTTTCCTTAGCGTATCGGTACTATCTCTACTAATAGGTTTAGTTTATATAGCTAATAGCTCTAAAGATTTTAGTACGATTATTATAATATTACTTAGGTACGCCCTCGAATATCTGTTATAGGTCGAGGAGCTATTCCTAACGTTTTTAGAGTGTATAGTCTAGCGTGAAGATAGGTAGATTTTTAAGCTCGATCTCCTAGTCCTTTCCTAACGAGGAGCGGGGTTCCTAGTAGAGGTTCGGTAGGAAATCGTTTAGGTTTCGTCCTATAATCTTAGATCTTAGGCGTTCGGCTTGATCTTGCAGGTCCTTTAGACGTTGCAGCTTTTCGATAGTAGCTTAGGTAGCTATAAGGTTTAGGTCGAGATCCGACGTAGTCGTCTAGCTAGTATAGAGGGTTTCGGACTCTATAGTTGTTAGTTCGTTAACGTTACGGGAGGGGTTCGGTGCCTCTTCTGTAGAGGGTATTAAGCGAGTTCTTGGTGCTATCTCTCCTAGGTAGCTAAAGAAGAAGAAACAGAATTGTAAAGATAGTCTACTTGCAGGGTAGAAAGCCTGTCAACTAGGTAGGAGAGCAAAGCACTAAGTCCGATTGTAACAGAGACTGTTTCTTGGGGGGCCCTCTTTCCCGTCCCCCTACTGATCTTATATACAGTAAACCCTACCCCGGGAGGGGTAACCACGTTAGCTTGCATGAACTGTATGCAGATCGGCGGATGACTCTCCTCCGTGGGAACAGCGGTGAGAAGGCAGGGATAGGCCACCCTGAAGGGGTGCTCCATGGTTGATCTCCATGGATGATCTCCCCGGATGGCCTGAATCCCAAGGCCGAAAAGTGTGAATAGCCTCATGGTGGGAAATATCATAACAATTAGTCAGAAATTTTTTAGGTCTGTGTGAACTTTTTTGGGTACGTGTGAGCTGGAACCCGCTAAGCCTGACCTCAACATCCTAATTTGCTTACTAAGCCCTCCTAGAGAGGAGTGACCAGAGTAAGCAAGCTCAATAAAACGCGATACGCTAGATCGACCCCTGTATGATTTTTTCCTTTTAGTTACCATTTTCCATCCTAACAACAACGCGTTAGCGTTGTGATTTTGCCACTGACTTGGCGATCTTTTCCTTTACAAGCATGATGTACTTTGTGGACATTGTTTAACCCGTTATATTAGACTAGACGCTCCTAGGAGTATTCTCCGTTTTCCTAATTCATTGGCTAGATTTAGGAGACCTACGGAAGCAAAGATGATAATGTATATTTCCTAGATAGACTACGAGTTTTGTGCATTTCTACTAGCCACTTTGCGGTCTCTATGTGAAAATTTTCGTACCCTTGTACGGTCACTATAGCCAAAGATCTTTCAGAGTTCCGACGTTATGCTATGTTCGCTAAATTGAGTGGATATAAATATGAATGTTTAGATCTGCTATTGTTCCTGGGAGTGTTAAGGTGCTTCTAGGAATACCTTAGGGCGTTATCTTATGTGCGGAGTGGTTGAGCTAATAGAATACCCTTTCGAACAAACCGTTCTTTAAGGTTCCCGGGAACTTACAAGAGTATAATACTATTGCTGCCTATTCTTGATGAAGATAAAAACCTGAATAATAGCAGTCTATGCCGATGCCCTTCAGAACTTGACCTAATATACTGTATAAGGGAACGTATTTAATCGAGTAAGAGTAAGTGTATAACGAATAAATCTATCTTTCTGTCACTGATCGTATTTCAGATTGAAAATTTTTAACCGTTCAACGCTAACGACCTTACCGTTCAAGTCACTAAATCCGCACTTTACAGCGTTTAATAGCTCCTTGAATCTCTCGATAATGTTCGACTCAACAGCGAGTTCTCAACAGAATTATACGATCGATTACCCGCCGTGGAGAACATCATGCGGAGTCTTATATTCAGATTGGAATCCCTAACCTCTCCTCTTTCAAAAGTGATCAAGAAGTGCACGAATTTCTTTGCCTGGCACTCAAATCATAGAGACTCATGCCTTAACTTAATGCGGACTTTTACCAACTTCAAACAATGCTCAGACAATTATTATTACATATACGGGGTGGATGAGAACAGCCCTAATACTTGCGTGGAGTCGCAAGCATGGCAATTAATACATTTGCCTATGTGTGTGCACACGATGTATGAAACAGTTAAACATGAAACACTGTAAGTGATATACAACACACTTGAGCATATTGCCATGCTGATTAGGCCTCAACCTCTGTCAGATTTTCCATATTGCTCACAAATGCGTCGGAAAACGCACTTCTTGCACGAGAAAATGATATAGCAACGGCTATCTTTAGACTAAATGTCATGGCGTAGCCTGACAAGTTCCGATACTATATATATTGGGTCCTGGGTCATATCTGCTGATCGCGGATATAGTGGTCTTCTTGGCCTACGTTGGTTGTCATGTAACCCAGAGTGACTTCGTAACACTAAACAAGAAGGGCCACATTCTTGAGGACTGGCTGTTGGCACTGGAGCTACGCAGCGTAAGCGTAAGCTTTCGACTGTTCAAACGAATTGATCGGCGACATGGTGTGGTCGAATGCTGCTTCTCTGCTTGTGATCCCTCGGACCCGTCTTCAATCCTACCGCGAACTTAGAAAACGAATATTAGGACCATGATCAAGGAAATACGCTAACTTCTCATATGGGTGAAGGCTATAATTTGGGGCTGGCATAAACAAGGTTATTTTCTGCTCAAGACGGTGTCTGCGGAGACCGAGAAACACAAAAACATACATTCGCACGTGGTCACCCACTATACTACTAACTGGCCAGCGTATAGCTTATCTGCGGCAGATAGTCGGGTGGCTGCCGCTCGGGTGAGAAGTGGGTGAGCGCCGCTTTTGTTGAGTTATAAGTGACGCTTCAATGTTCGCATAGTTGACGGGAGTTGATTGTCTTGTGTATGTTGTTCTAGGTACAAAGAGGCTGGTAGCCATGTAGACATATATACATGCACGTGCTCCCGTCCCGTGACTATCCCAGTGACCGCGATATTCAACAGCTTTAGGGTCGCGCGATCAGGGTGAGAAAGGGTGAGTGCGCAATAGCCAGGGTGAGAAGTTGGGTGAGAGCGGGTGATTCTCACCCTTCGTCGCGCGACCACTGCACAGACCCTCACTCCCCTGGGCTCAGATGCAGCGTGACTGGTTCACCTCAATCTGGCTGAAACCGTGGTCTCTTGGCACTTGCGGGATTGGCCAAATCACAGCGAGGCTGACTTCAATATAACCTTGGGCCAAAGAATTGTGCTTGGTGTCCGGGCGCCACCAACATGAATGCGCCAATGCTCTGGCAGTCGACCATACCCAGGCCGCGGTATGAATCATTATTCTTGGACAACTCGGATTATACTTCGACGTGATGGGTTTCTCAAGTACGGTTGAGGGTAGATGGTAGGCGAGAACATCACCTAGACGCGAAGGATCAAGCCTCGTTGGTCAGGGTAAGCCTTTCAAATTTGCAAGTCACCAAGAAGAAAACGACGGGTCCAGCTAACGGCATCTTAAACAAACCTGAAAACTAGACTTCTTGGAAGATTCCTCTGCAATTCCGACGGCGAATCGCTGCGTGATGCGAATACCCCAGGCGCGACAACGATCGAATCGAATGGAGTCGAATGCTTCCACCAGTCAACCCACATCCATATCGGTCACCAGACGATCGGTTAGTTCATTCTTTACCGCAGAACCTGCCGCTTGGTCTAATAGGTCCAAAGACATCCCCAATGGACATCACAGCCTCTGTTTTTGGCGACTGGCCGCACGGCCTCAGTGTGCGAATTGCTGTGCAGATCGAAACCCGCACAACCCGAAGACAAGATTGCGAGAACTGCATAATCACGGAAGCATGCGAGACAGAATGATCTGATGATGTATTGGACAGACGATGAGACTGTTCCTAGTGTTACACAAGTCGGATTCGGAAATTCGGCACTAGTTGAGTTCGAAATCTACTATTGCGGCTATCGACTGCAAAGCAGCCTGCAAAGCTTTACCATCGCCAACACCTATGCGTCGACGTGCGCTCCTGCGTTCAGGAACAATTCGACAATCCCTTGATGGCGCCCTAGATGGCCTCCGTCTGAGGCAGCTTGGAGGGCGTTGCCGTATTTCCCACCCTGTGCGTTGACATCCGCTCCCTGGTCCAACAGCAGTTTGACAATCCATTGATGTCCACCGTGCGAGGCAGCTTGAAGAGCGTTGCCGTATTTGCCACCCTGCGCGTTAACGTTCGCTCCCTGGCCTAACAGCAGTTGAACAGTCTCATGATGGCCGTTCAACGAGGCGGGATATAAAGCGTTGCCAAACTCGCCGCCCTGCGCGTTGACGTCCGCTCCCTTGTCCAAGAGCAATCTGACAGTCCCTTGATACCCTCGGTTTGAGGCAGCTTGAAGAGCGTTGCCGTATTTTCCACCCTGGGCGTTGACATCCGCTCCCTGGTCCAACAGCAGTTTGATAATCCATTGATGGCCTCCGTGTGAAGCGGCGCATGGTTATTGCTGAGCTTGAATGTTGGTTCAGTAGAGCTAGCATGCCTTCCCGTCATTTTCGTAGTAAATAAACAACATACGTTGATCAATTTCTTTCAGTTTTAATGTGTGGCCTTGTATCAGGGCTGAGTGGTAAAGCAGAAATAAGGACGTTCGGAGAAGGCATACTAGCTTAGTAAATATTCAGCATGCGTGGTGGCTTTGAGATTATATTCTGGCAAAACAGAACGAATTGATCCGAAGGACAGTATTAAAGCAAATGCAATGAGATATCATTTAATCTGACTGAACCGCTGTGTAAAACCGTCTTCAAAGCCTGCGGCACATGAATGTTGAAACTGGAGCATACAATCTATCCAGATTGAAACAGCCGCGACGTAAATGTCTGCTATTAAAAGTGTGACTCTTTGACAGCATCTTGATTATTCCTGAATTCCTGGAAGAACTGATAGGAGAATAGCCTCTTGGGGTGCATCGACACATCTCATAAATCAACCGAGTTTCGATGTACCGTCCGTCCAATTGCGATATTAGGCCGGTGCTGGTGTTCCTCACGGCATCACCTATAACTCAGAGCAGCCCTCATCTCTCCAAAGACCAAAGGCGGATTCTGCTTTTCCATGCCCATCACATATGGATGAACAGTCGCCCCAAGTCCCGGCTATACGACACTCAGCATTTGAAGTATCGTGGCCAATGGTGGATTTGGAGTTTAGCCGACAATGTGAGGAGGGAAATTTATTGACTGACACCAACACGTTTCCTGCGACCCAACATTGCAAACAGGAATCCTACGAGGGTATTCCAGTAACCTGGAAATTTTTCTCAAGGCATGAAGGTACAGGGGCAGCCACTATGCAACTCCTACGGGACAGCTGGAAAATATTCAGAAATATGAGTCTCCGGGATTGGGCTGATGACGTGCTGGATATGCCATCGACCAATGTGAAGCTTTTCAGGCTATATTACAGCAGACTAGCATTTTCACTATTTCTTTCCTCCGCTAAGTTCCTAAGGAGATCGCCAAGTACGATTCTATGGCATCGGTATGGACTCTCTCTCTGTCTCCGGCCCACCTAGACTGTTCGAACCCACGACAGTTTCCTTTATGCTACTCTCCGGCATGGTCTCACCTACGCTAAGTGTGGCAACCAGTTTGAGGTCAACGTAATTTCGCACACCCTGACCATTACACCGATATACTCATCATCATCTTTCTTCAGTAACGTAAGTTTCTGTTTTTGGCTTTCGTATGCTACCTGGGCACCATCCTGGACCAAACATGACTTCTCGCCTAAAGCGCCGGAATTGTGGGAGCCGGTCCTATTTTCTCTACAAAGCTGCAGAGCGATAAAGATATATCTTAGAAGACCTACATAAGTGATCATCGCCAAGGAATGATATATGCAATCAGTTAGCCATTTCGTTAATCTATCCGACCTAGATCGAGAAGCGTTAAGGGCTGAATTCATTATGAAGAGGCTTTCACCCATTCACCAACCATGTAGCACGTAGTTATACTTTTATAGAAGGAGATCGCGGAGCCCTGACATCTTGTAGGCAACGTGAAAGAGCTGGGGAGAGCAATCGATGGTCAAAATTTCCCGTGTGGAAACCCCAGATTACCGTTAGCCGCGGCGAATACCCACCAGGTTAAAGTTTTGCCGAGTTTGGTAGGTTTCAGTCACATTGTCGCGGCCTGTTCAGAAAACATTGCCCGGTCACCACCCTCACGGCTGTATTGCTAGAGGCGGCACATCTATCCCCGACCGTCCGGCGCTGTATGTCCGGCCCTTGACGAACGGCCGAATCCCGAGCGTGGAGCAAAACCCCGCATCCGAAGATCCGGTCGGATCAAAGTTTCCACAGGCTGGCTATCCTCCTCCTATATCTCCTACACCAGCAAAGCCAGGTAGGACAGTTATGCATTCATCATGGACAAGCACCGACTTGCATGCGATCGCTGTTCCGCTTCTTTCGTGCGTGCTGCCAATTTGCAGCGGCACCGGCACACGCGTAATCATAATTCTTGTCGAGAGCTTTAGGTCATTCTCTGACGCGTTTTCGCAGACAACTCCGGAGAAGCGTTTCATTGTTCATATTGCCTGTCAAAATTTTCGCGCAGGCATGTTCAAGATTTGAGCAATCTGGTCTTCCTACGGTCAAGTTCTAATGCAGCCTTAGAGACTCGCTACGCAAACATTGGAAGTCGTGCCCTCTCCGAAAAGCATCTGGACTGCCTATTCCAAACCCAGAGCTGCGGGGCAGGAAACGGCGCGCTTGTGACCAATGCGCCACAAGCAAGCGGGCATGCGACCTCGAGCTCCCTTGTTCAACATGCCTCCTGAAAGGTTGCTCCTGCTCGTATCGCAGGATGAGCTCCCCTGCGGGTGGCACGGAGCTTGGCGCCGATTACACGGATTGGAATGAGGAAATCATGAGTCTGGGGTTCCTCGACTCCTTGTTGCCTGAGCCCACAGGTCCGGCAATGGCGCCACGTGACGCGACACCAATCCTGCAACCCGCCATACCGATATCGCTTGTAGCTGGGGATTCGGTCAAGGACTATGGAGCTGACCCTCAAGGTTCGTCCGTCGTTACAGGATGGCATGTTCTTAGCAAGGAAAGCTTCGAATTCCTTCTCAACTTTGAAATGGGTGGTGGCATCAACCGGGTGTTCAACTTCATGACCTCCCTAGAGCAGAACTACCAAATCTTGAACTTTGAAAGTCTCCTCCCGTCAACTAATTCACTTTATGACGGTCTTCTAACTGACAGGGATTTCTGGAAGTCCAGGGAGTCTAGCAGCTCCACAAAAACCGTCGAGTGGCTATTTGATCCTTTATTACCCCAGGCAAAAGCCATTTGGGAGAAGCTCCTCAAGAAACCCCAGGCTCATGAAAACGGGATCTTATTTGATGACCATGACCTCAATTTCAATGATAGATGTATTGAATTCTTCAATCCACGAAACCTGCGGAGGCTGCTGGATTTATACTGGAAGAGATGGCATACACATTGCCCGATCATACATGAGTCCAGTTTTGATCTCTCTCAGGTCCCGACAGACATGGTTATGGTTCTGAGCCTCCTAGGCGCCTTCGTGTCCTTTGATAAACAGGAGGCTGTAAAGGCCCGACAATGGCTAGACGCGACTGAGAGTTTACTTTTTTCGACACCATGGTTATCGAGACATGATTTTGCAAGGCAGATGGAGCCGCCGCTGACGCGTGAAACAAAACTGAGGTTGATGCAAACTGCACTCCTTGTATGCGTGTTGCAAACGTGGGAGGGGACCGAATCCTCCCGATCCAGAATCAGAGAGCTGCGGTACCCTCATCTTGTACAGGTATAGCGCATTGTTCTATGCGATATCGGTTAACGCTGACATGACATCCAGGCATCTCGGGAAGTAGATTGTCTTTATCCGGATATTGAACACAAGATGTCGCTGCACAGCTGGAAAGAGTTCATCCTTGACGAGCAAGTGATTCGGTAAGAAAGTTCTTCTTCTCTTTAGTTTTCTCTGACTTGGGACCCTCAGCTGTTTGCTAATGTGAGGATCGGAACAGAACGAAATCTTTCATCTTCCTGCTTGATTCCGCTTTCTCAATCTTTCATAATATGCCTCCTCACATCACTGTTTCGGATCTAGCGTTCCCATTCCCTTACCCCGACCCGTGCTTCCGAGTTCATAACGGAGAAGCATTCTGGAAAGCTGTACAGCAGCATAGTCCAGATTATCCGAAAATAAGGCGAACACATATCTGCGACGCCGTCAAAATGCTTTGCGATACCGAAGCTTTGAATACTCTTTCCTGTCCACCGGAAATGCCAGCATTGAATGGGTTCATTCTCATTTCAGGTATGACAGCCGTCTGCACCATGATCCAAGCTTCGTTATGATTAACCAAACTGTCTTTGTGAATGGATAGCTATTCACTCCATAATAGTGTGCCAGGAGATGTCCTGCTTTCTCTCCCCAACCACTGTCGCCTCACTTCGTCGTTCCCTGGACAGATGGCTTCGGATGTGGAAATCTGGCTGTCCATTCAATTCGCATTCTAGCAGCGAGATTTATTCTTCTCTGGATCAGCCTTCCGCTTCCACTGGGTTCACTCGGCACTCGTACGAATACTACTGTTTAGCATTAGCTAAACTTGAAATAATGGGTAAGTCTCCAGAACAGAGGCATATTTTGCTTGCGAATGGGCTTCGCAAGGGCAATGTTAAGGATCTCATCTGGAACTTGAAACGGATGTCCTCTGCCTATGTGGATTATTCAGCAACGGGAGACTCTCACCCCCAAACAACCGCAGATTGAGTGTACTGCCATGGCTATACTTTCATGACCAAAGGAGAAATGCCATTACAGTAATGTTGTCAGTATATCAATCGCTGCCTGCGCATTGACTACAGCTCCAGTCCTTCTAGTAGAAGTATTAATTTCTGCATTGCGGCCTTCATAGCATATATGGGTTCTGCACGTCAGTGGTCGAAGTACTATTTACGGTCATATGCCGCTGGTAGGAAGGGTTAAAAAGTGTACAGTATGTTTTGCTCCCGGCAGTCAGAAAAGTGGCCTTCTGACAACATTTTCGTGGATTCCATTCAGTTCCGAGTCGGTGTCGTATTCAGTTATTCCTGGATCTAGCTCAGGACCTAGCTGCGGCTCCCAGAACCGGCGCAGGATATCAGATATCCCACGGAGATTTCGGCGCGAGGGGCCTGGGGCGAGAAAGAGCGGTAGGTGGGTCGGGTCAATATGGTGGTCTCCTGGAACTGGTCCACAAAGTGGGATAGACCCGGTGAGCGCTGCTTCTCGAATATCCGGAAGAATAAAAGAGGCAGGATATCAGTACCATCAACACACCATGGACCGCCCGACACATCTCACACCATCTGACGTGACAATGTACACGAGAATCTATCGAAGATTGCGTTCGCCAAGTTGGCTCGCACACCAAAGGAATAAGTGGCCAGGGATAGTAAGATTTAACAACCTGCAATAATGACTCACGTGCAGGTAGCATGTCAACTGCGAATACGCTGTCACGCATGCGACCTATTACGGATGACGTCTAGGACTTCAGGTCTCCAAAATGGTTGCTGTGCCTTACTACGCTTTTAGGAATAGGATATGATATTACAGACAGGTTCATAGTACAGATTGATTTCCTCTCTAGACCCTGTATCTTATCCCTAGCCAGTACCCCTGGCCTGCATTGCTGGACTGTCCTCGACTAGGCGTCGAGCTATCCAGTATTACCTGGCCTGACCAGCCTACAGAGGCTCTAAAGCCCCCTTATTGGAAATCGGCCAAAGCTCAGGGACATCGACTAGCGACTTGCGCTCGCCGATCTCTCCGGCTGGGACCCAATTTCCATGAACCTGGGATTTCACGCGGAATGGAAGCACGGCAACCGCGATAGGCTTCGTGAAAGCTCGGGTGTCAAGAAAGACGAGCTGAGAGTTTTGCGAATTGCGATCCTCAATTAGCGACATGACGAATCCATCCCCTTCGGGAGCATCAAAACTTCTGGGAATAAATATCGGTTCTTGGGCAAAGCAATTGTCTCCAGGGTAATAGAATTGTTGCTCCCCCGTCCCAGTGTTGATCATTACGAGACCGTTCAGGCCCTGGAAAACGTTCGTCGAGCCGTCCGCATTCTGCGGAATGAAGACATTCAGGAAGACAATATTGTATTCCGTTGACATGAAGCGCTCGTCAATGCGCGGGAACTCAGAAGGGATCTCCAAGATCACCTGTGGATCGGCCAAAAAAGTACCAGACGGCTGGGTCGGGTCGATTTCCCAGCGCACGAAGTCTCCCTTGGCCTCCCCGGTTGCTGCACCATCCGCCGACGGGAAGAAAGGGAAGACGTTGCCGTGAACGCGGGTGCTTTCAAGGTATATTTTGCCTCCCTCCCCTTCCCACGCCCCGGCAGAGTGGATATTCATGCAATGGTTCCAATTATAGACACGGGACTTCTCACCCTTCTCCCAGCCCACTACTGGCCCGGCTCTCCGGGGCACCACAATGAAGCATGCCAGGCGGTCGGGTGCGTAAGCCCAGTGGTGCCCACCATCTTTCATGCGTTCTAGGCTTGCCTCGTACGGCCATAGCAAAAGGACCAACCAGTTTTTGGTGATCACGCAGTCGTGGATGAGCGTGCACCAAGGGGCTTCAATCCATAGTTCAGCCGTCTTTTCGCCACTTCTATTCAAAGAGTAGGTGACAACGTCTTTACTACCGGGCCCCTTCGCCTCGTAGCCGAAGACTACAAGCTCTTCGGTGAACGGGTCGATTTTCGGATGCGCAGTAAACGCCTTTGCCTTGATCTGGTCCTCGAAGGGATCGTAGCGAATGGTCTCAAGAGTATCCGGGTCCACTTCGTAGGGGTTCCCGGCTTCTTCTAGGACGAGGAGCTTCTTAGCCCATCTGATGACGTTGGTGCTGCCAGTGGAATCGACAGCGGCGCGCACACAAGGGTGGTGCGTCCAAGGGCTCTTATACAACCCGAAAAGAGACTTGCGCGCCCGTCGTTCTTGTCGATATCTCTCGGTGCGAACGAACTTGGTTTTGAAGTCGACGTGGCCATTTTCAATGCGAAATGCTGAAATAAGACCATCTCCATCAATCGGCACGCTGTTCTCTTTGGGTGCAAATCTGTCGAGTGAGATGCGGTAGAAAGTGCCATTGATCTCCGAAGGGATCTCCCCATATACAATAACATCGGCGATCTCCCCTTCGAATCGGAAGGGTATGTCGGAGCCGGTCAGGTCTGCAGCGAGCGGCCATTTAGTTTTGAGGCCTGTGTAGACGGCCAAGGAAGATGTCATATTTCTTAGGAGGCAGACTAGATATCGAATGATTGGTTGACTTGTAGAACCGGTCGCTGGATTCTGGATCACTTTTATACCCCACAAGTTTTATCCCGCACCTAGGGCACGCATGCCGTCCTGTTCGAAGCCGTAATCTTTGGATGAAGATGGCTGGGCTGCGGGTCTGAAAAAGCCGCCATTTGTGGTGGGAATTTCCCGCGTTAGACGTTGAACGGGCAACATCCACAGCTACATCCGAGATTCAATTGAACAAATACTACGAGGAAACTGTTTGCCATGACCGCGGATGAGCCTGTGCGTTGATAATGCCGCACACCGTCAGGCTTTCCTGGAGCGCAATCTGAACCAGCCGGGAAATCTTACATTGGATGATCAACCTCAAAAGTATAACGTATTTCCCAAGCGAGCTGGCCACCTAAAACACCATAGTAAATGCGATAAATTACAACATAGTATCACAATAACGGCAGGTTATAGGGACTTTTCCTTAAAAACTAATGCCTTTTAGGTGGTGTCTAGTCTCTAAGAGGAGTTTAAAGAATTCCTATAACTTAGTAATTGAGATATATTTCTGGCTCCTAGCAACGTAATTTTCGATACCGTAATAATGTAGGTTTTAGATTTCGTCAAAATTGATATGTAGTGTTGAAAAGCCCTTATCAACAGCTACCGGCAAATAATAAAATAAAATAAAAACGTGGCTGTTGAGATATCAATGTAGAATATATCGTATTTACTATGGTGTTTTGGGGTGGCCAGCTCCGTTGGCTGGTAGCCAAGAATTCAAGCAACAAAAAGACAAACCTATGTCTCCGTCCGACACCCATATTAGCTTTTCTTTACGTAGCAAATACCAGACCCATTGGCCATGATAGAATTCATCGGGATTTGGTCAACAGATTCGCAAACAGCAAAGCCTATCTAAACACCCGGCTGTTTGAGATACCAAGCTAAGTCGTCCCCGCATTTCTCCCTCTCCGTTTGGCCTTTACCAAGATATTGAAAGCGATTGCCACTCCTGTATTCTATGTCGAAGTCTTCCCACCGAGGCTGACCCAGTAGCTCGATGAAATGCAAAGCAGATCCACACCACGGGCCCCATACTTTACCATCTACCTTCCCGTTTTTGTACCTGCGTCAAGTTCAGTAAATTGCAGACTGAGAAGAGAACATTGCTTACCATGAACGGCAGTGGGATGTCCAGACGAGTTCCTCCATCAAGGCATCTTTATGCTCTTGGAACTCGTCCACAGCCCCCCGTGTTGGCGATAGCGATTTGAGATTGTGCGTTTGGATCTTCCGCGTTGCTGCAAAGGCATATCTCAGGGTCTGCTCTAGACAGGCCAACAATGACCCGTTGGCGAGCGGAAAATTCGGACCGGTAGCCACTATAATGGTCAGAAGAGCGATGTGGACAGGAACATCGTGTAGAACGAACTGAAATAGTTTGGATAACCGTCCACCGCTACCGACAGGTATGATCGCGGCTCGTCGGCCCAATACTCGCGAAGATCGCGACCGTTCTTCCCCACGAGTGAGAAGGATGGCCGATAGGAAGTGTCGAAACCGGTGGCGCAGATTATAACGTCCAGAGCCAAGTGCGTCCCGTCCGCCATCTGGATGCCATTCCGAGTAATGTGCGCAATGGGATCACCTCTCACGGTTACGTTGCTGGCGGCGAGAGCCTCCAAGTAGCCGTGGCCAGGAGTCATTCTGCGCTATTAGCCTCTCTGATCATTGATATGCGGCGATTGGGGCGTCTTACCTGCGGCAGCCAACGGCAAACGTGGGCACTAGCAAGGACGCAAGGTCTTCCCGGCCGAGTCTTTTCTTCATACTGGTCGTGAACTGCTCCGTAAGCTCTTTTTGCGCGTTGCTGTTCTTGAATTGCAGATTGAAGAACTTGTTCGCGCTGCTCTCAATCGCTTTGCGATATGCGAGAAACTCATGCGGGTTATCGGCCCACCGCTTCCTTTGCTCCGCTGAAAAGACCGCGCTTTTACCTTCGGGAACGAACTCTGCCGCAAACTCGGGGGTGATCCACGTCGGCGACCGGTCGAACGACACCAGGGACTTGACCTCTACCGCCATCGCGGAGTAGTCAGCGAGCAATCCTAATTCGAGCGACTATGGAAACAGAGACCAACCTTTCTGAATCAAAGGGACGATTTGGATTGCGGAGGACCCGGACCCGATCACTCCGACCGTCTTCCCTTCGAAAGAACAGTCGTCATCCCATTTGGCCGAATGCACTTTGTGGCCTCTGAAGTTCTCGATCCCATCGATTGCCGGCCACTTCCAGTTGCTATTCGTATCAGTATCGCTGATTTTCACATAAGGAGCGCTACCTACTTCAAGAATCCCCCGGCGTTGATAAGTACATCGCACTCGTCATGTATCGTGCTTCCATCCGCTAGATTGAGTATGTCAAGCTTCCATCGTCCATCGCCATCGGCCCATGTTGCGGAAGTCACACGGTGTCGCAAGTGGAGGTGGTCAAAGACGCCGTACGCTTGGGCACGACCTTTGTAATAGTCGAAGATCTCCTCCGCTCCCACATACGGCTTTGACCACCCTGAATTCCCCTCCCAGGAATAAGTGTAGCCGTGAGCCGGAATATCGCATGAGCAACTGGTTCACAATAGGACTTGTAAGCTTAGATGTACTCCCATGGGTTATAGATGATTCTCACCCCGGATATCGGTTTTCCAGCCATGTTCCCCCAACGTCATTGTTCTTCTCGTAGATAATTAGTTCAGCAGGCTTCGCTTGAAAGACCTCGTGGAACAGTCTCACGGCGGCGATGCCGCCTATGCCTGCGCCCACGACGACCACACGGACTGGGCGTGGTTGGCCCATCCACTGGTCGGAGACTTCATACGGAGCTGGGGTTGCCGCCATGAGGATTGAGAGTGCAAGAAGATGATGTGATTTTAAATACGGCCAAACGACTCTTTATCGTACACTATCGGGAATAATGTCCTCATTTATGCAACGAGAAGTTCTTTATATCCTGACGTTGGATCGACCACTCATCCCTGCTGACTTAGAAGCGATGGTGCCGGCTTCGACATGAAGCGTCCTGGGAGGGCAAAACCGAGCGGGTATTATCCACCAAGTGCCCGCCACCTATTAGTCTGCAGCCGAATAATGGAGGCGGGAAATCCCCGCAAACTCCGCAAAAGCGATCCTGTGGAGCCTCAATTTAGGCTCAGCGGACTCTCCGAAACCCGATACATCGGCGCACCCTCCTCTCCGTGGCCCAAATCCTCTTATATGCCTGAGGGAGCGGACTGGCAGCTGGTAGTAGAATTACTTTCGATCAAGCTCCTCTCAAGCTGGTCTAGAACTATTTCTCTCGATAAACGGCGGATACGGGCCTGCCATGGCTTGGTACGGGCCACCTGAGAATACGCCGTACATGCGCTAGTGGCTGATATTGTTCATAGTACGGAGTGCAAACGACGAAAGATCAAATGCAGCGGTGAAAAGCCTTGCAGACGCTGTAGCCAGAAATCTTTGGAATGCCTCTACCGCTCAGTCAAAGAAGAAAGGATTAGAAGGTATATGTCGTGTCCGACGATTTACAGGCGATAACTAATTGTCCCTTAAGGGCGCCGCGGATTGTCCATGGGTACATTGAGGATCTCAGAAACGAAGTAGCATCGTTGCGGACCCAACTCGGTGGGCTTCGGAACCAACACTCCCGCATGGGAAGTAGCACACTAGGCGGCAGGGCCCAGTCTCCCTCAGCGCCAACTCTCCTTGCCCCCTACTCAGGGCCCACGACTCCCGGATATTGTATAGTCGACGTCAAATCGTCATTGAAGCGGATGGGGAGGGAGGTTATCACGCCAGCTGGAGAGAAGCACGAGTATCTGGAAACAATGTTGCCAGAACCAAAAGCGCCCAGCACGCTGGATCCACTGTGGCTAATAGAGGAGGAGGAGGAGGCTTTGAGGCTGTTGAATGTTTATGAGGAAGAATGCCATATAACATACCCAGTTTTCGACATGCATGCTCTGCGAGAGCATTTACGATCAAATGGCTACTGGTCCGCATTAAGGGATAATCAGCTTACAGGTGCGGGAAACCTCCACCCATGGCTAGCATACGATAGCCAGACAGATATGCTGAGGCTGGTTCTTGCCTGCGGAATGAAACTCGACGGGCGAAGCCACGACCAAGTCCGTCTCAGTGAAGAACTATTCAACTCAGTCGCTCTTTTTGAACGAATCTTCTCGAGCTCGCCTCTAAATTTAGAGACACTGGCTCTGCTTGTTGTGGCAGCCACTTTCCAATTCTGGAGTGGTAGAGAAGTCGATGCCTGGAAATACATTGGGCTCGCTGCACGTATGAGTTTCGGCGCTGGCTTACATAGAATCAACACCTTGGGCCTACTTTGTGACGCCGGCGAGCGCCAGCGAGCTCTGCGCATCTTTTGGGTTCTGTATGCACTCGATCGGAGATTCAGCTTTGGCACGGGCCTGCCATTTGCAATCCAGGATTGTGATGTTGATTCCCATCTCCCATTGCCGGTAAATCAATGCACAGTCGGTCACATGCATCGAAAGCTGACAGTTCCTAGGATGGAGACTATCCATATCTACTTTATATCACACACTATAACCGCACTGGAACGAAGATATGGACACACGTGACTGGCTTTCGTTCCGGCAACCCTCCGCGGCAGAATACCGCAGAATATCTGGATTATCTTATACTACGTTGGTATTCTGAGTTGCCCGATTACTTGAACTTTGACCGGCAGGACTTGACCGCTCGTAATCCTATCGCTAATCGTGGGCTGCGGAGAACCCGTCTCCTGCTGCGTCTGCGTCGAAATGAAGCACGGATACTCATTCATCGAGCAATGTTACACTCGACCTCTTGTACATCGAACCTGGGGCACGGCAAGACTCTTGTTACTGCCTGTAAGGATACAATTGAAACAATTAGCGCTGTCAACGACGTCTCGGACGTTTACAGGTCTCAGGAGATCCGCTATAATTATTTCTTGAAGCAGGCGGTCGTTGCCATCTTTCTCGCCGCGGTCCGGGACCCAGTCTCGCTCGACTGCCAAGCCTATCAGGTCGCCCGCCATGGCCTTGAGCTCCTTGAAAGCTCCGCCATACCGCTGAGGAGCTCGGGCTTCGATGAAGTTATTCGAGATTTGCGACGTCTAGAGCCACATATCGGCCTTGTCTTACCCCACGTCAATGACGACAAGCACAGTATTGCAAGGCCGAGTCAATCGGCTCCCGACCGCGGGCAGCCAACTGGCGCTAGCACCCCCCAACGGCAAGATACCAGCGACGATAACTGGGCTGCTTTATACCGTCGAAGCGTGACGCCACCAGATGACGGTGCCCGTGACCAAGACAGAGACGGGGCGCTGTTGTATCCGAGTGGGGCGGTTTTTGGTACGCAGCTTGACGACCATAAGGATAACGGATACGACTTCTTCGATACCTTAGTGGATTTGCCGGAATTCACCGAGGAGTTACCACTTGATACTCTCCTACAGCAGACCCGAAATATGGATGAGTGAGAAGTCTGGAAATGAAACAGCACAATGTCCAGGCAACTTTCAACGAGCTATTTGTGAGCAAAGGGTCCCACCAGTCCAGGTCTGCGAGTTCCATACTCCTTGTTCCTTAACGGTTTACTGTCAGACGTGGAATGGCCTACTCCATGTATGGGTTCGATATCAAGACTAAAGACCAAATGGTCTGTATTGAGCAGCAAAATGAACCAACTTATTCAATACTGTCATTAGCAGAGACGGGAAGCCTGTTCTTGGAGGATGACAGCCAATTGAGAATGGTCCACCAGATAATTAGAGAATAATGCACCCCTTAGATAACCCACACTGACCACCCCCCGCGGCACTACCAGTCCGTCGCCGTCCCAGCTTCCATTTTCCCTCATTTTGCCGTCGCGGTGTGGTTAGTGCAGCCTGCCGCTCAAGTGCGAGATGATCACTGCCATCTAGTCATTGGAAGTTGACTTTGGAGACGCTTTCGTAGAATGCTTTGCCTTGCGCTTTGGCAATACCGAGTTCAAGCGGAGACGGCTGACGGGAACCATCATCTCCCTACACGGACGTTAGAAAAACGGCTACGGTGTATGGATGCTCAAAGAGGCTTACAGCGAAGGGAGCAGCACCCCAGGGACTGCTGCTGTGCACCTCGCCCAGTTCTGATAGCTGAGTAAAAACGTTCTTGTACCCGAGAGGCACCTAGATGAAGCCCTAACCCTAACCCTAAGGCTGAACCATTTGCCCTGTAGACCATCTTTTCTATGCTCTATGAACGCTTATAGTGATGGCAATAACCCTCGGTAGGGTTTTTCCTTGATATGTCTTTAATCTTCTCATCATACATAGTCTCTGGTTATACTCTGTAAGTGAACTCGATAATGGCATAAAATCAACACAGCAATCCTCACTGAGTTACAACAAAATAGACCAATCAGGGGATCTCACCAGACGCACGAACTGCTGGAATAGGAGATATATATGTCATTACCGGCATTCAAATAGATTCCATTAATATGCACTCGTTTTGCAGTGTCTAAGCACTCATGCTGTGATCTATTGCCAGGCTGGAGACGATGGCTGAAGCTTCTGACGTCATGGTGTCTACAAACAAGGACTCAGGTACGATTTGGATCAACACTTACAAGATGATATTTGTGCTGGCTTTGCACCTGTCTCAAATACAAACAAGAAAAAAGAAGGAATAATATAAAGTTCCTCCCATGAGGCTTCTCGGTTCACAGATCTGAATCAGACAAAACAACAGTATAGTACGGGCCTACCACCAGGCCTCCCAAGCCTCCATGATCCGAGAGATATCATAGAACGGATGCCTGGCGAACTATCCCGTTATTTCTGGCATAACCAGTCCACTTATCTCGTAAATTCTCGCTGAGCATTTCGTCTGCATTAACTGGACCTCTGCTAGTGAGGTATTCGCACACGGCTGCGTCAGCGTCACCTTCAGCGTCATAATAAAAGATTCCGGGCACGGTATCGCTTGAGCAATAAAATTGCCATGACCGATAAGTAGGTGGCGGCTTGACCGGGTTGACACGGTTTTGGAAGGCAGCCAGAACCTCGGGAACAGAAGCATTGTCGCGTTCCGTCGTGTGGGTGGCCATATTCATAAGACCTGACACGTGTGAAATCTGCTGTTTTATCCAACTCTTTGGAATGCGTTGTTTTTCGTAAAGGGAGACACCTTCATTTACTGATATAGTGCCTCGGATTACCTCGCTCACAATACGGCCCAGAAACGCGCCATCTTCGACTGCTGTAGCAGCACCTTGGGCCATGTGGTTTTGCATGCAGTGGACTGCATCACCCATGAGCACCACATTCCCGTGCTTGTTTGACCAGCTTTTCATGGGAGGCATCTGCAGCAGCGGCCATCTGTGCGAATAATTGACCAGGCGAAGAACTTTCTGGATCACCGGACTGTAGTCTTGATAGTAGTTCCGGAATTCTTCAATATCCACCTCTCCCATTTCGGTCACATAATCGTCTTTGCAGAAAGCAGTCACGATATTGAGCTCTTTTCCTCCAGAGATAGGGTACGTCAAGATGTATCCATTCGGCCCTGCCCATACGTCCATGCTATTCCGAAGATATGCCCTTGCCTCAGGGATCTCCGAAAAGATCTGCTCGTAGGAGAGGACGCCACGGTACGCGGCAACTTTTGATGGTGCCTTTGGGCTAACACTAGGGGCAAGTTGGGAGCGAATAAAGGATCTGATGCCGTCGGCTCCGACAACGAAGTCAAAGGAATAGGTCTCGCCATTAGTAGTTGAGAGCTTAATAGCCGTCGCCGAATCTTCGAGGTAGTTCACGCGAGAATTGACTCTAACCTTCACACCGTGATGACGAGCAGACTCAGTAAGGCCATGGTGGAGATGATCACGTCGCACGACCCACCTGCATAACTGTTAGCAGTACTTCTCTTACAAAACGAAAGATAAACCAACCATGGGAAGCCAGAACGGAGTGCGAGGTCCGAAGGTGCGGAATGAGCGACAAGTGTCGCTTCTGGGCCAACGTAAGTGTTGCACTCGTCATGTTCCACCAAGTTATCCCCGATTATCTTGTCCACGCCCCACCGGATGAGGAATCGGGAAACATTTGGGAACACCTATTCGGGTCAGTCAAGACTATAGACTTCTCAGCTGAGTTAGTATCACCTGGATCCCAGCACCAATTTCTCCTAGCTCATGGGCAGCTTCGAGCAAAGTAACATCCGCACCGGCTCGGGCCATGGCAATAGCAGCACTTAGTCCGCCAAGACCTGCTCCGACCACACCAACGGTAAGACTTTTCGTAGCCATGATACGTTCGTAGCGTGATATTTCTTGGTAATGGGATGGGAAAATACTGGTTGGTTTGCAAGGGTTGAGATTTCACTGAGGCAAGACGGTATCGTACATGAGGGATCGTATTTATATCGTTCTTACTGCTGGTCCCACATATGCCGAGCCCAGTGACTGGGGCGTCGGGATAAACGGTAACCTAGTCCCGACGCTTAAAATCGAAATTGCCCTCCTCATTTTCCTTGCGGGGAACAATTTGCCGCATGCCCGAGTGGAACGACTGTATACACTTGCATTGCTTCTCACTTGCCTTCGGTCTAACCGACTTTCAAACAAATGCATATGTAATCTCAGGTGAGGTTTGCCCCACAGTCGGCTATTTCCCGCTCGCGCGGTGTTTACAGTCTTGCACTTATACCCCGGGTGGGTATTTACCGCGGCTGTGGCGGAGATAATGGCTAATGGTTTCGCTTACATGTTCAATGACGTAACGTAGCCGCAAAAGCCCTTGATGTGTATGGTCGAGCGGCAATTAACCACCACTATTCTCGATACAGACCTGGCTATGATATAGCAACACCAGTATATATTAGCTACCATACATAGTCATTAGGTTGTACTTCATTCAATAATTAATCTACTTATAAATACACATACATTATATTGTATGTGGTGTTTCTGTGCGTGCGAGAGCGTTTGCTAACAATGGCAGCCGAAGTACAATTGAGGATGGCATCCAACCCACCTGGCCCGTGTTGCTTCGTCGGCTTTAAGCACGATGGTACACCATCCGGGTCTATTCGAAATGTTCATGGCGGTTTGTGAACCCTTCCCTTCCCCCTCGCTTTTCCCCCGCCCGGGCGGTGGCGACGCCCTCGTTCCCTAGTCTAGGCTTTTCTAATTTGGAAATGACAGTGAGGACGTATGTCGCAGAGCCGAAGGAAGGACTTCGAAACAAGGGAGCAGTACTACTGTTAAGCGATGTTTTTGGATTGCGCCAGAATAGCCAGCTCTTGGCCGACGACTTTGCCTCTAATGGATATTTAGCTGTACTGCCCGATCTCCTGGATGGCGAATCGCTCCCACTGGACGTTTTTCAGACTGGCTCTGTCAACATTCCTGCCTGGGCTTTACGACACGGTGTTGAACAGGTAGATCCTATTGTGGATAGCACAATCAAGTTCATGCGTGAGGAGATGGGTGTGGAGAAGATCGCGGCTGCCGGATATTGTTTCGGTGCAAAGGTATATCCCCTTACAGGCCATACAAATCTACCTGTTTACGTGGCTATTTGCTTGAGACTGATATAATGATGTAGTACACGGCTCGCTTTCTTAAGGCTAAGAAAATAGACGTGGGATATGTTGCGCACCCCTCTTACATCACATTCGAGGAATTGGAGTCCATTGAGAACCCGCTTTCCATTACGGCCGCTGGTAAGAACTAATTAAAAGTTCAAAATTCATAGTATCAACGTTACTAATGTCATACTCAGAGATTGATGATATCTTTCCCCGAGAACTAAGACATTAGACAGAACAGAGGCTCGCTTTGGGGAAAAAAGTATATCAGATAAATCTTTTCAGCGGCGTTGCTCATGGGTTTGCTGTTCGCGGTGATCTTAGTATCGCGGCCAATAGGTGGAGTAAAGAACAAGCTTTGCTGCAGGCGTTGGCGTGGTTTGAATACCATCTCTAGGAGCTCAACCGTCAAACCTTTCCGAGTACCGGGCCTTGACACTTGATACGTCGCCTATCACGACACCAGTTAAGGACTTACTGTAAAACCCCGCGAGGGATATCATATCAGAACAAACTAATACAGTACGGCATGGTATGCAATGAGTGGGGATTCTTTTGGAAGGGGAACCAATCAGTACAATTGACAGAATAGAATTGATTGATTGTAGATAAAATGAGTGGCAGGCCGGAGGGTATGTTAAATACCCATCTGAAGAGTTGGTTCATAGTTGATATGTGGATGGAACCAATTCCTCCATGTCTTGGAGGACCAGGTCCATGGGATGGATACTCGAGCGTGACTTTGAGTGTTGTCTCGGAACCCCATGATTACCTACAAAAAACAAAGAAAAAGTGGGGTACGGAAGAAACCAATAGGAGGCAGCTGTAAATAACTGCTCCACTATCCTCGACATTTTTAAAGGAAATCTCTAGATTTGATCTTCCATCTATAAATCCTCTGGACTATCTGCTGCTTTCCCAATTGACAATGTTTGTGAAGCTTGTATTGCTGTAGCAATACCGATTTTTGAATGCGATAACTGATTCCTATGATTGTTGTTCACTTCTCCAGAAATTGCGCACATTTCCCATCGAAAACGGCCCTCCAGCTGTATCTTGAGATCTTGCACTAAGAGTCTAAGACATATTTAATAATACTAGGCCCACGATTACACGGGAACCCAGACTTAATTAGATTCCACCACACTAGGTAGTCGTGAATTCCTCCCTAGGCTCGCCTGTCGCCGGGATTGCTGTCTGCTACTCCCGCTAACGTAATTCCTGGTCGACTCGGCCACCCGGTCCTCCCGGCCACCCTAAAACACCATACTAAATGCTACAAAGTACAACTTCATATCTCAACAACTATATCTATTTAAGATAAGATATTAAGTATACATAATCTGAATAGTGTTTCTAGACTACTGATATAGTACAGGACAATTAGTCTAAGTAGTACCAGAGATATATATATTTAAATCTGAAACGTCAAAATTACGCTGTATTTTATGGTAAAGTATTAAAATAATAGTCTGAAGAGTCTAAAATCTATATATTCTCTTCCTATACCTTAAGAAATGTATATGCTAAAATTTTAACAGAAATAAACCCCTGGTGGTTGAAATATAGATGAATTAATATTCAGCATCTTGTGTGGTGTTTTGGGGTGGCCGGGACGACCGGGTGGCCGAGTCGACCGGGAATTACGTTATTTCACGCTTCCTTACTAATCCGCGGCTTATTCTTATGAAGATAGGAGTGTTATATTGATTATAAAAGCACCCCATTTTCCACCTTCATGTCAAAAAGAGAGCCGGAATTGAACACTTCAGTAAGCTATGATCTACTCGCAGGGCCAAGACTTTCCACCATTTGAATTGCCCTTCGCTATGTTCATCAACGTGTTATAAATGCTGGTGCAACTGCAAGGTGAAGAACCCAGCAGTTTGGATGCCCCCAGAAAAGAATAGGCCGTCTGTAGATCCTCCATTTGATGGCACCTGATAGCCATTCCTGTTGCCATTTTGTAAGTATCCAGAGTATGCACTGATTACCATATCATCCAGCATGACACTGCCGAATGAATTTCCATCGAGAACATCGGTTGTCCCTCCTGGGATAGCAACGAAAGGTGCAGGGGACCCGGGGCCCAAGTCTGGCTGGTTTTGCGAAATAAGCAAATCAGGGCTCGAACTGACACCGAGTACGTATAACGTGTTTCCGTTCCAACAGACTTTTGATTTGCTGACCGCGTCGGAGGTAATCCAGAATGAGATGTCACCCGGGGTGTTCGATGAACATGAATCTCCGGTTTTTCTGTGAATTGTGAGTCCGGCCGTATCATGGCTGAGTAACTTAAGGGTAAAACCCTTACAAGATATATGGGACGAATTTGCCGGGAGCTACACTCCAAGCAAGCGGGATCATTTGCCCATACACAATTTTCTGGGCTTCTGATGTTATGCTTGACAGGTCAATGTCAATGGGCATAGTGCTGATCATGCCGTCTTGTAGCACATCCCAGAGATCAACAATAACAGTATCGTTATCCTCTGAAAAAATCTCCTTCTGATAATTTGTTTCCGTAGCCTCCCAAGCTGTAAAGAAGGAACCAAATGCACTAGACATTGAGTTTTCAAGACCCAAGGCCACCTAGCTACTGCACGGCCACTTAGTATCGTTCAGAAGTAGGACATGATGCCTGAGGAAACTTACGTAAGAAGATTATCTTTTGCAATCGTGAAAGAAAACGAGATCGCGCTATTGACTGCGTCTTTCGAGAAGCCCTTAAGTGCCGCGTCGAAGATTCCCGAAGCCTCGATCACTGGGGCATGTCAGTCGAAGCAGGGCTTGCAAGATACATGCATACTGACCAGTATTCCAAGTGAACGCAGATCCTACGCCCAAAATGACTTGCAAAACGTCGAGAGCCGATTTAAAGAAAGCAACATATATCTCCCCGCTTTCCTGTACAAAGCTAGAAGATTTGGTAGATTAATTGGCATCTGAATAGGTTTAGTTAAGAAAGGTTAAACTACTTAGCAAAGATGGGATATTACAGACACGCGATGCAAATCGGTCAATTGAGATTAGAAGGGAGAAAGAGAAAGAGAAAGATGAGAGAAGGCTAGCCAAGCAATTCAAGAATGTGTATGGATATACACCCACAAAGAGGCCGGAGGAGAGTATCCAAAGGGCAATTGAAAACGAGAGAGTGGCTAGAGAGGCAGGAGATCTATTTTTCATTGATAACTAGCTAGTTTGGTTGATTAATTCGACGATTTCTTTAAAAAGTGACGAGGATGTGTGGGTGACGGGGATGCGTGGCGCACCCATAACGGGTACGGTATGGGTGGGGAGAAAGGCACGGCTAGAAACGTTCGTTTTGAATTTCCTTTTGTTGTTTGTCATGTTTGCATATCTGTGTTTCCTTTTTTTTTGCATATGTTCCAGGGCGATCAGTTAGGATCTCGCACCGCGAGCCCCATGAAATAGTCGCTCAGTGGGCTGGCAACCACATTAAAGCTGTCGGCAGGCCCGATAGCACTCCCGCATAGCAGCATATATTTAGAGCGAGCTACATCGGGCAAATGAATTCATCATCATCATCATCATCATCATAGTTTTCGATAATGTACCGTCGATGGGCGATGGTCTCAAGCTAGGCTGAGATGACTTTGGGCTGAGATGACTTTGGAAGAAAACATTACATTGCCGAAGAAACCGCTTATTGTATGCGCCATTTGGGATACTAAGCCCAAATTCCTCAATTGGAGCTTACGGATTTACTTGAAGAGAGTTATATTCTATCCATGGAAAAGCGATGTGACGCTGTATTTAAATGACAATAGCGTAGGCCCTACTGTGGACTGCGGGTACCACCACAAACTGAGCAGGTCCCCATTTCCCCACAGCATCTCTCCGAATTAGAGAGACTGGCGGTTCAAAAGTCTCACCAAGAGTGGCCCTTTCAACTCTGCTGCGCCGAAGCTCACCGTAGGAGCAATGTTAACTCGAGTGTCTCGATGTCTTGTTCCAACCTGTCTTTATCAACGGATTCAATATCATATCGAGATAAGAGGGTAGCAATCAGCTTCGAAATTTCAGCCATTGCGATATTCCTCCCAATGCAGGCTCGATGCCCTGCGCCGAATGTGATTAGATTGGCAGCACCGGAAAATTCCGCATCAAACCATCGCTCCGGCATAAACTTGTGCAGATCAGAACCGAATATGTCTCCATTGTGATGCACAACATGATTGCATACGCTCACTTCAGTCCCCCCTGGTACAAAAGCTCCAGCAATATCATGGCCATGGCTTGGTACCACTCGCATGAGCGGTGCAATGAACACAGGATTGACCCTGAAGCCCTCAGATATTGCAGCCTGGAGATACTTCAGGCGTTTCAAAGCCTCAAACGGATACACAGCATTACCGTCGACAGACGTCAGCGACTGTATTTCCTCCCCCACGCGTCTCACTGTTTCTGGATGATGAAGCATATGCCAAAGAAGCAAGGTGGTGCTTGCAGCTGTCGTATGCGAGCCTGCAACTATGAATCCAAATGCTTCAGTTTGTACATCAACGATGTCGAAACAGCGCCCACTAGAGTCGTGGCCGGCTTCCAACTGCCCCAGGAGCCGACCCAGAAGATCTGGTCTCTGCGAACAATCGTATCGGCGAGCATTCACGCAGTCAACCGCGCGCTGTGGCTAGTTAGCTCTCTCTGGCTGAATTTCAAGTAGGTTTTTTTAAATTTCGTACCTCACGAAGCACCTTCCGCCCCGTCATCATCTTCCTCAGAGGACCGAACGGTAGGAGCGCTGCAATCTGATTGATATGGGGAATAATCCAGGGAACTTGCCCCGAAATAGTGGCTAGGAGGACCTAGCTGAGTCAGCATATTCCATCTTGCCAAGATCTAAAGATGTCTGGCTTTCGCGTACATGTTCTTTCAACGGAGGCATCGATCCCTCTGGACCTGCATCGAGAAGCTCAAAAGATCGAGCAAACGCAAGTTCCCCTAAAACATCCATCACAAAGAAGCTAATCCATAACTTGATATCAATTATCTCTCCGTGAACGGCTGCACGGTCGAGTCTCGCGACAAACTTGACCATGCATTCGTCCATGTACTTCTCCATTTTAGAGACCGCTTGCGCAGAGAAGCTTTTCGCTACAGCCCTTCGTCTTGTGGAGTGAATGTCTTCGTCTCGCGTTCCGAAAAGATTAGGTCTCAGGGCGTTAAAGGCATCGTAAAATGCACTTGAGAAGAGTTGAGAATCTGCATTAATCGATCGATCTATCTGCGAACGAACCTTTTCTGAAACAAACGCCCTGATCCGAGTATGGTAGTCACAGCACTACTACTGTTGAAATCCAGGTGATTTGGCCCAACTCTTACCACATCGCCATGCTGCTCATGACGGTGTAATAGAACCTTCTCCAAATCTCCACGCCAGATATGGTATACTTTCCAGAGGTTGGTAAACGAGGCGATACGTGGTCCTGGAAACTTGGCAAGCGGATGAATAATGTGATTCCATAAGAAGAGAAGAAACCATATGCCAGCACCCCATACCGCAATGCGAAGAATGATTGACATTTTCAAATGCCGCGCAATTGGGAAAAGACGTATATTGTCTTGGCTTATTCGTGTGGGCTTGCGTTGGGGATTCGAACACGCAAGGCCCGTGTTGGCTAAAAACCTAGTATCTCCTGGCGTATTTCTATATACTTGACGCTAGTCTCGTACGATGATCATCAGATGATAAAATCCGTTTTGCCTAGTTTCAATCCAACATTACCGCCCAAGGTTGGTTGGGGCTTGCCACCACCGGCACTCCGGTGGCTTAGTAAGCGGAAGTGTTCCATCTAAGTTAATAATCCCGGGCAAGGTCTTCATTGGACGATGTAGTTCTCGCACGGCAGTCTTAGGGAGAAGCTGCCAATCATTGGTAAGATGCGATAAATGCTACAGTTAGATTTTACACGACAGTTCTTTAACAAACCGTTGTAACAATGACTTCTAAAACCCGATCCGCAAGTTTTGAAGAACTACCAGGGGAGCTTCCTTCTAGCACCCATTATCAGGATGTTGATGCAAGTTCTGTGACGGCATATTTTACACATAAGGAGGTAGAATATGGGTAGGAGGCATTGAAGTATCCAATGGAGAGCCTCCGCGAAGAGGTGCTTCGGATAAATTCGTTACATTGTCATCAGGGCATCTTTCTACTTTAAGTTCCGAACCCTAGATGAAGAGGATAAGAAGCCGTCGATTAGTGGGTCTGGACGGTTAAGTCGGGATCTTGGCGCTATCTTGTGCGAGCCCTATCATGAGAGAAGACGAGGTTTCTGTTTATATTGGCGGCCTTGGTCGCTCCCTGGGAAACCCCCCCCTCCAAAAAACCCCTTTGTCCAGGCTCACTCCATTGTCTGCACGAGAAGGTGGTTCGACGTGCTATAGCATCTGGGGCGCTAATTTAAACTCTCACCCCTCACTGTCATCCATCAACTGCCTGTCATCCATCAACTGCCTGTCATCCTTATCACACGGTCACCATGAGCAAAGACCGCAACACAATGGACCAAGACCTCGAAATGGCCGAGATCGAGGCGGACGCCAAGCGCCAATCCTCAAACTGGCGCAAGGAGGAGCCTCGAACATCAGCCGAGGCCGCTAGGGCTTCGACGTCTACATCCAGTATGTTGTCGACTGGCTCCAGTAGCTCTATCGAATACAACCCGAACTTTCACAGGCAGCAGTCACGGAATACAGAAGTTGACTTAGAGCGTCGCCAATCGACACTCTCTCAGGCCCTGAGCCGCATAGAGACCCAACGGCTTCAACATTCCATGACCGTGGGTGAGAGCGTCAAGTCGCGACCATCAAAGCTTCCTTTACCAGCATTCGGTGCTGGCAAGCCTTACCCCCCACAGCTGCCGAACCGAGAGGATTATGTCGTAGAGTTCGATGGACCGGACGATCCTCTTTACCCGCAAAATTAGTCACTAAAAACGAAGTAGGTTTCCCATCGGTCCATTCATATCAAGTCGAATACTAACGATGCATCTTTCTTCAGGGTGTGGATCAGCACAATTCTGGCATTTACTAGTATCTGCTCAACATTTGATTCTGCAATCTTCAGCCCCTCCTCTAGAGCCGTTGCTAAGGTCTTTGGAGTTGGCCTCGAGGTTTCAACTCTGTCTAGCTCACTGTACATCTGCGGCTATGCTACCGGACTATTGATCTGGGCTCCTCTATCTGAACTGAAAGGTCGTCGCCCTACAATCATCTTGGCTATACTCGGGTTCGGTATCTTCAATACGGGCGTGGCAGTCGCTAAAGACTTGCAAACCCTGATGATCTGCCGTTTCTTCTGTGGTGTCTTTAGCAGTTCACCCCTGGCTGTTGTAGCAGCTGTCTTTTCAGACATCTACAATAACCGCACACGTAGTATTGCTATTGCGTGCTTCTCTAGCACAGTCTTTCTAGGCCCTCTCCTCGCGCCATTCATCGGAGGCTTCATCAACATGTCTTACTTAGGTTGGCGCTAGACTGCCTATATCCTAGCATTCATGGGATATACAGCTTTCGTGATGAACCTATTTTTCCTCAAGGAATCTTATCCTCCCGTTTTTCTTGTGGACAAGGCCGTGGAATTGCGCCCGCGCACCAAACACTGGGGCATCCACGCGAAGCAGGAAGAAATCGAGGTTGACCTGCGGGATCTGCTGATCAACAACTTTTCTCGTCCACTGCGGCTCTTAGTCAATGAGCCACTTATTTTGGCAGTGACGATCTACCTCACCTTCATCTACAGCCTTCTCTACTGCTTCCTGGCTACCTATACTCTTGTTTTCCAACAGGTCCACGGTATGAATGCTAGGGTCAGTGGCCTCCCCCTCTTTGGAATAGTAGTCGGCCTTTTGATTGCCGGCTCCTACATTATCATTTCTAGTAGAGCATACAATCGCAAACTGGATAAAAATGGAGGTATTCCAGTCCCCGAGTGGCGCCTTCCGCCTGTAATTGTCGGTGGCGCCCTATTCGCTGCTGGAATTTTCTGGTTTGGGTGGACTGGATTTACGAACGACATCCCTTGGATCGTGCCCACGCTCAGTGGGCTGTTTACTGGATTTGGTCTTTTGATCATTTTCATCCAGCTGTTCAATTATCTGATTGATACCTACCTTATGTTGTGAGTGCTCCCGCAGATCTGCAAAGACTTGTGAGAATGTATCTAACAATAAATTGTTTAGTGCCGCCTCGGCCATCGCCGCGAATACCTTCTGCCGTTCCATGGTGGCAGCCAGTTTCCCCCTTTTCTCGCGCCAAATGTTTCAAAACATGGGTATTCAGTGGGCTACTACTCTCCTCGGCTGTGTCGCTGCCTGTCTAGTCCCCATCCCGGTGGGATTCTTTTTCGTCGGTAAGAAGCTAAGAATGAAGAGCAAGTACGCACCGTTTTTCGAACCCGCATCAGAGTCGCATGCTGTGGATTTGGCGGAAGAGGAAGTCGGAGAGAATGAGGCGGACGGACGTGGTTGAAAGATAGAAAGATACCCTAAAATACAATGTACATAACTCTGGCCCCTGGAGGGCCGACAAAAGTAATTACTTGATCAAAAATGATTCTGAATAGGCGGTAAACACGTGAGAGATTGTTCTGTTATCAGCCAAAATCCTCTGCCATTAGCAAATATGAAATTGCCAACAAGACCTCTTGGTTCGATTACGACGCTATTGGTCTTATTTAAACCCGTTATTTCAATACTATCTCAATGCGTCTCATCTTGATATCTTCTTTCCTTGAAATGATAGGCCGAGGCATCTCTACGTGGAATAGATTATGCTTAACTTCACATAGCTTGTTAGAAGCAAAAGCATAGAGGCGTGTTAGTCTCCCGGCCGGAGCCTTCAAAGCAGTTTACATGCTTGACCCAGGAATTAGTGCGATATCTTACACAGCATGCTTAAACTCCTTAACTTCATCGAAATTTGCAAGACTATTCGCTCAAACCATCCTTGTGTATTCTTCTCCTATAGATTCAACACTCAACTGGTTCCACTATGCCCGTTGCCAGATTGTAAAACCACCCTGTAACCAACACAGACGGTTTAATAAGCGGATGGTTCCGTAGATATTCTACGTCACCTTTAACGCTGTTTTTCACAATTTCATCATCGGACGCTTCGTCATCCTTTCGACAAAAAGGCAAGAAAGAAATAGCTTGCACCCAGCAACCACACCCGTCCCTGTACGGCCCGGCAGGAGCCCGAACATCGTTCTCCGTCACCATGTCCTTCGTCCACTTGTCCGTATAGAACAGAGAGCCACAATCTGAGAATGAAGAAGTTAGAACCGTGATATTTAGGTCGAAAGAAAGATAGCTCAATATATGAAACACCTACTGGCATGATGTACGACTTTGATCTCTTTCAGTTCGCTGGTAGCTTGTATAATAGCAAGAGATCGAATTGCCCCGGGGTCATTCGTTCTGCCCCCGCCGTTGCGAATAACAATTGCATCATTCTCCTTCAATTGGTAAAAGTGCTCTGGACTGGACCGTGAATCAACACAGGTAATGATGGCTGTTCTCGATCGAGGACCTGAGGTTAATTGCTGGGCATCTGCAGTGCCATTTTCGGAATACTCTTGGTTCGCTTGGACAAAGTCGTATTGAATATGCGCTTTCAAAGCCTTGCGACCTAGGGTCGTTGAGGGCCCTGCGGATGGCGAGTCTGTCGTCATTTCTGCTTCCTCGTGGCTTGTCTGACAATCGTGATGTAGTAGGATGAAAATCTATTCTGGCGAAATTCGATAGTACTTAGATCTACTGAATCGACTTACCGAGGGAGTTATATCTCTCCGCTCCGGCTTGGTCCCTAGGCAGAAGACAGATCAAGGCGGAGAGGCTGATGTAAATTTTTCGGTCCTCTCGGGACGGAGCGGTGGTGGCGGCAACGGCGGAGGCAGCGGAGAAGTGGTGGAATACCGGTGGCACAAATCGTCACCGGGGCAGTTTCGGACGTACACGTGTAGTGGTTGACGAGAGGTCAGGCCGGTCTCACTTCTATAACTAGATGAGTATGCGTTGATTAAAATTTCACTATACTGTCGTCGATAGCAGCCACGGAGTTTTCTGCGCTGACAATCTGGTTAGTTTTCTTTGCATAGTTTTACTTCATTGCTTGCGTCTAAGGAGCAGACAGGGAAATGGCGTCACAGACACACTACAGCGATTTCGACTTTGTCGCCGCTAATAAACACTATGCCGAGCACCTGTTCCCAGAGCGAAATCCATTAGTTGGGAGTCGTTCCAGAGCCGTTATCGTAACATGTTGCGATGCTCGCTGCAGCCCTGAGCATTTCTTCAAGCTCACAGAGCAAGAAGCCACAGTGATACGGAACGAAGGTGGAAGAGCTGCAGATCCCGGTGTGCTCCGTACTATTGTTCTTCTGAACTGTCTACTGGCAAACACGAAGCAGCATATCTCTGAAATTATGGTTGTACACCATACAGGTTTGTGGTGATCATTTCATGTTGTCAATATGACTGCGCTCGCTGACATAGGCCACTACTAGATTGTACTGCCCTCAAGATCACGGATGAACTGATTCGTGAATTGGTATTAAAGAATGACCCAACTGTCCCCGGGGGCGCTTGGAAAACAGGTGCTTATCAAGAGGCCGAGGCCGCCGTGTTTCTCCCCTTTCCCAGCGGGACAAGCGAGAGGGAGAGACTGGAACAAAGTGTAAGAGAAGATGTTCGGTTCTTGCAGCTTCACCCTCTATCTAAAATATCCATTCCAGTCACTGGTTGGATTTATGATATTGAAACGAGAAAGGTGGAGCGTTTGAGTTGCTAAGAGAATATTGGCAAACGCGAGTTATAAATCAGTACTACAGCACCTGGAAAGGATCAAGGGGAAACAATATAGCAATTATAGCACAAATCATCATATTTGAGTTTGTGTCTGAACGTACAGAAAGATTAACTAGGTGTAGATTGGAAAATAAGATTTGGGCGTCATAGACGACACGTGGAAAATCAATCGCGTATGTTATCTATTAGCAGGTTAAAGGTGCGACGGATATTTATTCCTGCTATCTATTTTATCTATTGCAATAAACGCGCATTATGGCATCACCGAAAAAGCTTTCACAGCTCACAGAATCACCTAAAACAATGAATCTGAACACTGAAGTTTTGCCTTAACTTGTATCTGATTTTGGACCGTTTAAATCGGTAAGTTCCAAGAGGCAATATATGTCTTATGGCGTGTCATTACCTTTCGCAGCATCTAATTCCTCATGCGTGGCAAGAGAGGATGGGTCAGGAGGGGAAACAATTGTCGATTCATCAGGCCTTTCCGTTGTTGCCTTTTGTTCAAATTGCGTTCTCATTCTGTCGGTGGGACCTCTGGGAGCATAAACCAACGACCCTCACCATGCACAACTTCATTGCGTGGAAGACGAATACTCTAAGCGATGCGTCTCTAATTGACATTCACGGTCTCTCCTTACAGCATTTTGATTAAGGGACAACAACAGCCTCCGAACTCCTACTCTAGATTGCAGCGGGCAACCTGGAACGCTATCAACGATGCCTTACACGCCCAAATCCTCAAATCCCTCAGTGTGGAAATACGGAAGATCATGCCGCCACAGCGGACCAAGAATGCCGCAGCCCTATGGGAATCCGTGGTGACTGGTTTTGGCATCACAAAAGCCCAAGAACGCTATAATGTTCTTCGCGATGTGTGTGTGTTGAAGCTGGAAGGATCGGATTATATGTCCCACCAAGCCCAGTGGCTGGCCTACATGGCGGCGCTGGACGACCTTGATGTCACAGTCGATGATATCAAGTATGCTTTGTTTATCTTGAGCCTTGGAAACTGGCAATCGCAGTTTATTAAGACAAGGCTAGACGAGTTCTTTTCGACCGGGGGAAATGGAGAGCCGATTGTCAACCTGGACATCAAGCAATTGATGCGAGCTCTTCAGTATCGTGCAATCACGCAAGGACCGAAGAAGAAAGACCCGGTCTCCGCCCCGAAGGGATCGACATCCACGCCGAATCCTGAGAAGCTAAAGTCGTCTGAGAAACCGGACTCTGACAGAACCCTGAAGTCACGCTGCAACTACTGTCAGGCTCCGAAAGCGATACACGATACCTCCCGCTGCTGGTCAAAGAACCCCGAGAAGGCGCCAATACACTGGTTGAAAGATAATGCTGATTTAGTCCGCCGAATACGTGGGCGCAACGGGGATCCAATTCCCGATATTCCGGGCCTTATAGTTGAGCCGCAGGCACAGGCTAAGTCTGCAATTTCCAGTAGCAGCAATAATACCAACAGTCGCCAGTGTGGTGATTGGTATTTTTATATGTGCGCAAGTCGTTATGTAGTATCAGACCGAATACTTTTTACTTCCTACACTCCACTCAAGAGTAATGAAGGGATCGGATCGATCTGGGGGGACAAGAAACGCGCTATTGGTGTTGGAACAATCAATATGAAGCTAAATGGCCTAACTGTCACTCTGAAAGACGTCCGCTATATTCCTGGAGCAGATTCCAACCTTGTGTCCGAGGCTTCTGCATGATCAGGGATTCATTATTCACAAGAATTCAACACCTCCATTCCACTACGTCTTGGAGGACCTATCGAAGCAGCGATTCTTTGCCGTTCGAAACTCAAGCGGTGTTTACACATTCACCGCTGATGAACCATTTAAGGTCTCTACTCAGGCCTTCGTTACTTTAGCGACTCCGGCTAATTCACAATTGACCTCTGACTCTGACGAGCCTATTCCGACAGCTGGCGAACAGCAGCTCGTCGCCTATTTCAGCTCTGATGCAAAGAGCAACGTTGAGGCTAAGCCATCTAGTGCATATGAACATGTTTCAAAAGCCTCGATCGACATTAAATCTGCTTTCCCTAAGACTCTTTGGGAATGGCATGTCACGCTTGGACATCTCAATTACCGAGATGTACTCTACCTTGCCAATCGTCCAGGCAGTGGAGTGAAAATCACGGGCGACAAGGCCCAACCGCCTTGCCAAGTATGCCTCTAAGCGAATATAACCCGACGATACAGTCGTCGGCAGGCCTCAAGAGCCACACGGCCATTAATGCGCATCCACGTTGATATCGTGGGTGGCGGGGACGTTTTCTTAGATGATGATGACGCTTCTCAAGCGGCAAATCTGCAGTCCCGGCATGGCTATAAATATTTCCTCCTGATCACGGACGATGCGACGCGATTCCGATGGATTTACGGTCTGGTCTCCCGAGACCAACGCGAAATTGCTGCACGCCTGCGACATTGGCGTCAGAACATCAACAATCTCGGATTTAAAACACCTGCTTTTCTGCGATCTGACAACGAATTCGGATCTGGAGAATTACAATCAATGATGACAGAGTGGGGATGCCAGTGGGAGCCATCGAACCCTTATTCTGCGTGGCAGAATGGCACCGCAGAACGACCTAATCGAGTGGTATTGGAGAAGGCCCGCGCGATATGGATAGCATCAGGTTTACCAATGACCTTCTGGTTTCACGCGCTAGTCGCTGCGGTTTTTATGGCCAATATATCCCCGACGAGCACTCCTCTCTACAATAACCCTACACCTGGTGGAACAACGATCGATGAGAGCATTCAGCCACAGGACACCCGGATCCCGATCGAAGCAATCTCAAAAATCGCTGCTGATTTGAGTTACCTGCTTCCTTTCGGTTCGAGCGTTTTGTACCACCTCTATGGCACGAGCGAACCGACTGGGAAGCTAGAACCTCGAGGGAAAATGGGACGCGTAGTCGGATACAATGGTGCCTCGATCTACACCGTGTGAGATCCAGACACTGGCCGCATCTTCAATACTGGAGATATTCGGCCGACAGGCGCAGCCATGCGAACCCCGTTTTAAGGGGGGAGCAAGTGACTAAACAAACGCCTGATTCGGTGAGCTCCGAGGAGCTTACGGATCCAATCACCGATGATAATTGGATACGACCTGCGAAAGACCTCAAAGTCTTCACAGCTATGACCAAGACATTTCAGTCGGCAGCTGATGTGCTAAGAAGCTTCAAGGAAGCTATGGACGGCGCCGATCGGGAGCTTTGGAAAGCGGCATGCCGCAAGGAAGTCGACGATCTGTACGCGCGGAGCACTTGGGAATTAGTTCGCACTGGAGACGTCCCAATTGGGCTGCGTCCTATCCCTGGGAAGTGGGTATTCGCGAAGAAACAGGCAGTCGATGGCTCAATGCGCTATGAAGCGCGGTGGGTGATCCGTGGAGATATTTCTAACGGACATCAATCGCTATGGGGCGAAACAGCAGCACCTGTTGTCATGGCATCGACAAAATTGGAGCTATTCGCTGCCGCCGACATTATGGATGGCATATAGCTCAAGCTGATGCCATCACAGCTTTCTTGAATGGAAAGCTGCCAAATTCAGTTTACATGCGCCAACCGCATGAATTTGAGCAAGGCGGAAAAGGCACTCTCGTCTGCAAGCTTCAACAGCCCCTCTATGGCCTTATACCCGCAGCCCGGATTTGGTACGACACCCTCCGGGAGAAACTGGAAGCAATTGGCTTCCGAGTCAGCCCTTACGATGCAGGGCTATTCATTCACAAGATGAAACCGGATCTGTATGTCACCGCACATGTCGACGATTTCGGAATCATCGGTGCCAACTGCACCGAGATCCAATGGGTCCTTGCCGAAATGGGAAAACAGTTCCCTATTAAGGACCTTGGCAAAATGGAGCACTACCTTGGGCTTCGCATTGAACAAACAGAGGCAGGCATCAAGCTGTCGCAGCCTGACTTCATCGACAATCTTTTGGAGGACACAGGAATGTCGGATTGCTATCCTGTTTCCACTCAGATTGAACCGGGTCTGGTCACTGACGATCTTTATGACCCGAGTATCGACAAGAGACAATACCAGAGCGTGACGGGATCGTTGCAATGGCTTGCATCCTATACGCGACCTGAAATCGCAAGGGTTGCAACATTATTGGCCTAGTTCAACACTGTACCAACACAGAAGACTCTATCCACACAACGGAGAGTTCTTCGATATCTAAAAGGCTCCAAACAACTTGGAATAGTCTTCAGACCAGGCAGCGGAACGTTGTCTCCACCAGTACTGTACACCGATGTAGACTGGGGCGGTCCCCTCACACCGGGACGCCGTTCTTGTAGTGGGTACGTTATGCTTCTAGCTGGCGGCCCGATATCTTGGCGATCACACCTCCAGACTTCTGTAGCTTTGAGCTCTAACGAAGCCAAGTACCCGGCGGCTTCGGATGCTGCGAGGGAGGTTGAATGGCTTGCTAGGTTGGTGGCAGATATGGGTTTGTATGCAACGGATGCCACTCCCATCACCTTTTACATGGACAACAAGGGTGCCAATGATCTTGTTCGAACGTCATTTGTTTCTAGGCGTTCCAAGTACATTGATATTCGATATCATTATGTCCGCGACATTGCTGCCAGGGGTATCATCAACCCAACCCCAATCGGCACAAGGGACATGGCAGTTGATGGCTTCACGAAGCCACTGGCTGAGGTACCGTTCAAGAGATTCAGGAGCCAGATTGGGGTCTTGTGATTGGACTTATCGAAATGGCGGTGTTCTGGTTTGGGATGTTTTGCTTCTGTCTTTTTGCTTCCTGCGTCGGTTCCCGGGGGGTTAGGATTCTCCTTCTCCCCTTTCGGGTTTAGCGCCCAGACGTAGTCAGCTGTACATTAGGAGTTAGTTAGTTGCCCAATAGGAACGCAGTGTGCTTCCTGACTCTCACACTAAACTGGTCGCTGACTCATCAGTCACGGGACTGTTCCTTGCCACCTACCGCGGGCGATTGCGATCCTTTTGTGAGAGTCGGGAAGCACACTACGTTCCTATTGGGCAACTAACTCCTAATATACAGCTGACTGGGTTGGGGCGCTAAACCCGAAAGGGGGAGGGAGAATCCTAACATTTAGACGCCACTCACCGAACACAGCTAAAGATCACCAAGTTAAGCTGGCGGGTATTTGCTGCGGGCTAGCGATGCCATGGGTTCTCTATCCCTTCGCTCCGGCTCCGACCGCTCTTCGCTACCCCCGGTGATTTTTGCGTTTCGCCGAATGACCGAAGTCCCGCTTACATATGGTGAAAAAAGACTGTCTATTGTAAAGAAAGTCAACTCATTAACTCTCGACCGCCTTCTATCGGGTCTAATACCCTGGTCAAAGCGTCGGCGTTTCCCCCACAAGCACCACCGCCGGAATTCCGGTGGCCATCACGGGTTCAAGTTCCGAGGTTTGTTAGAGATTACAAATGTGCTCCATCGGTAATGAGACACCATTTTGATCTGCTGGAGCCGATCTTAGCGCAGATCACACGCACATAACTTCGCAGTATAGCAACTTTGTGCACTGCTTTAGTATAGAAATATTCCACTTCAGAAAATTGTGAGGCGACAGTTATTCGACTTCTTCGCTGATCTCTTTGGCCCATGGTAGAAACAATCATGACTCGCTCTCAGACTCCAGCTGCACGCTTGGAAGATCTCCCAGGAGAGCTTCCAACCAGTCGGCACCTGCTTGACGTCGACCCCACCGCCGTGGCAGCTTTTTGGGAAACTGACTTCCCAAATTTGAAGTCTGATGACTTAGATGAAAACGCAATATGGAGAGACATGTTAGCATTGACGGGGACTTTCAGAACGTTCTTTTCGCAAACTCTCGTTTACGAAGCATGGTCTGAGTTGTGCCAGCTCCGCAAGCCGAAGAACATTCATGTCAATGGTGATCAGGCAAGGATTGTTCAGATCAATTCAGACCACTCCTGGATCGATATCCCCTTCACATTTGAAACCACGGCTACCGACCCATTGGTCGAATGCTCAGGTTTTCTCTCCGTGTACATGGATGGAAATGGTTCCTGGAAGGTTTGGATGATCAGAACTATACTGGAGAACCTCCAGGGCCAACCTCCTGTCGATGTTCTCGAAGCACGTGCAAATCTGGCCACAGAAAACACGGATACTGCCGATAACAACGGAGCGAGCGACATTGCTCTATCTTTCAACAACACTCACTTTCAATGTATTGTCGTCGGAGGGGGTCAAGCGGGTCTCAGCGTCGGTGGCTACCTGCAGTCACTGGGCGTTTCTTACGTCATACTAGACAAGTATCCAGATGTTGGAGATAGCTGGGATAAACGTTATGACGCTGTGAAATGTACATTTATCCCCGAAACTTGAAAGCAACGTGCTAATTACAAAATATAGTGCACACGGCTCGGGAATACGGTATGGACTTTCTAACGCGCCATTCAATCTGACTAACTTGTTCCCAGCACACCTCCCTTTCGGACGCCTATATAATGCAAATCTTCCCGAGTTTCTCACCAGAGAACAAGTTGCGAATGGCCACAGAATGTTTGTCGATACTTATAGCATTGTAGGTTGCTTCGACATTCCTTGGGGCATTATTAATTGATTTAAATAGAATGTCAAGTGCGGTATGGAACTAGTGAAGAGTTCTTGGTCCAAAAGGGACAAGATATGGACGTGTGAGATCAAACAGTCTGATCATATACACACATTGACGGCATGTCATGTTGTGTTTGCTGTTGGAGCTGGCTCAAGCAAGCCGAAGATGCCTAATTACGATAACAAAGTAAGCCGCTTTGAATTTTCTGCTCTTTGGAGGCGCAGTCTATGCTGAAACAAAATTAGGATGTGTTTCGTGGAAAAATACTCCATTCAGTTGACTATAAATCATCCAGAGACTGGATTGGGCTCAAGGGAGTGGTGATAGGAACAGCAAATACTGGTTTGTGTGCTATTTTATTTATACCTGTTTTGTTACTGATTCCTGAGGCCTAGCCCACGACGTTGCGGATGACATGCTCGAATCCGGCCTTAGCTCCGTCACAATGGTTCAAAGAGGTTCTACATGTGAGTCTTCATAATAGGACGTCTGGTACCTCTGATTAATTTCATTCGATAGGGGTCTTGCCAGCAGAGCATTACCTGGCCACCACAGCCCGTACGTCGTCTCTTTAGTTGTCTTTATTTAGGCGGCAGCTAACTTCAATTAGATATGTATAACCATATTACTCCCACAGAAGTCGGTGATCGGATGAATTTCTGTAACCCACTCGCAATTTCACGCAAAGTCGCCATGATTAAGCTCCACGCCATGGCCGCAGAAGATGGTGAAAGATTTGACGCATTGGAGGAGGCAGGATTCAAACTCGACCGCTTCGGGGATATCATATCTGTCCTTTACGACAAGTTGGGTGGCCACTACGTAGACGTCGGTACCTCCGCCAAGATCTCCAAAGGCCTGGTGAGTCATATTTATTATGAATTACGTCACTTTCGGTGTCATTGCGTTGTATCGCTCGTTACTGACGATAACTTTTTGTCAAAATAAATGCTTACATTTTCAATTTGTCAAAATTAGATCAAGATTAAGTCCGACGCGGCTCCCACAAGCTATACACCCGGCGGTCTGATGTTCAATGACGGTACAGAGCTACAGGCAGACGTCATAGTCTTTGCCACAGGATTTGTCGCAAACCTACGTGAGCTTGTTAGTGGGTACATCGGTAAGAGCGTTGCTGACAATGTTGATGACTTTTGGGGTGTGGACGGTGAAGGCGAACTCAGAGCTGCGTTTAAATTCCCAGGGCGTAAGTTTTTATTCTGTACTCAAGTTTTATCGCCAATATCGTGCAGTGAGAAATTGAATTTCTGGTTCGACTAACACGATCACTAGATCCGGGTGTATGGTTCACCGGGGGAACTATCGGTCACGCCAGGTTTTTTGGACGATTTATTGCACTTCAAATCAAGGCTGATGTGATGGGAACTCCGTTTACTCGATATGAGAAATACCTCCCAAACATCTAAATCTCTAGGAGGTTATTTCTGAGCTACGGGCACGAACGATTAGTTCAACGATAGAGCTAGTTATAGTTCACCTGCAAATAACAGATTCGTACTGTACCCTGAAAGATCATTGCATCCCACGTACCAACATCCTGTTTCCATTGACTTCGAATATCAGATAATGGATATTGATGCTTCACATGTTGATCGATGTTTGAAGCATGCGTAGTCTAAAACGCCATGTCACTTCACCCTTTTCGGATGTTGATGTTCCCCATATTCCTAACTTTTCACATTTCTAACTGCCATACGAATGTTGGCGTAATGACCATGTCTACAAAGGGCAGGATGTAAGCCATTTCACAACATATCAACGATTCTATAGTTCTAATGAAAGCTGTATATCAATTGCTATTTATAAAAGACCATTGATAAACGACAGAACCTGGAAGGCCCAATCCTCTTCACCTGGAATACCTGTACCTAGAGCAAGAGGAGGACTTATGTGATTGTGCCCCTGGGCCTGTAGGTATTTTATCTCGAGGTAATTTGACTTCCTCAGTACACTGATAAAGTCTTGAGTAGCTCTTAGTATATCATCAGGGTCCAACTCGCTGTCAATGACCAGGACTGGCGGTAATCCCGCCGACATCAGCTCCCCTGATTCAAGACACCTTCTAGCTGATATCATTGGCGAGTAATGATCCAGTTCAGTTCCAAGATAGGAAGCAAGCCTCTCTTTGAGGCTCGCAGTCGAGTATCCAAAATGATACAGCACGCCAACAAGCACGATGCCAGTTATTCTAATGCCATTGGACGACTCGATAAGTGCCCGTCTGGTATCCTTGAAGATCGGCTCAAAAAGCCAAGCACAGGCATGCATGCCTCCTGCTGAGTTTCCCAGGATAAACAGAGGTCTTTTCTGGCCTGAGTACCTCCGATCAACCCAGGCCAGAGCCTCTGAAAGATCCTCACCGCCGTCCGGGAATTTAGCACCGTGCTTCACCAGTCGATAGTCGATGATGATGGTCTCTAATTGTCCTTTTTGGGAGAAGAAGTATCCCAAGTTTCTGTAGAATAACGGCTTGTTTTGGTTGACCTTGTCGCCATTTGTGAACCCGCCACCGTACAGGAAGACCAGAATTGGATTTGGAGTTGTGGAAGATGACCCAGATTCAGTTGGAAGGTAAATGTCGAGTTTCTGGCGAGGGTGCTCCCCGTAGCTATACGTCTGCACAGAGGCTGCGTCGATTCTTGCAGCATTCGCCTCTATGAGGGGCGTGTAGACTTCCAATGTAGGCACAAGCACTTCGTAGATCCCTGTGCCGAAAGCTGGGAGACAATCCATTCTGAAAATTTGAACTCGCGCAAAACAAGCGAGTGAGGTGCAGCGTAGTCAAGTGGTCCGATCAAGAAATCAGGTAAGATGTTACGAGTTGATCGCATAGGGAACGAGGTCTTCTCTTCAGGGGACAACTTGTTTGCTATATATATCTGTGCCCAATAGAAGGCCAAACAAAAATACCTGAGGGGTTTTGATTGGTCGCCTGAGACGCCGGAGACGCCGGAGTTACGTGTGGGGTCGGAGACGGTGGTGGTGGAGGCAATTATTGAAAGACCAAATGTTTGCGCCACGACAAGAGGATCTCAAACGCTCTCTAAAAGTCCAGTAAGATACTAACTGGATTTTTGTCTGAAGTGCTGCTGTCCTTAAAGCCACATTTATGACAGCTTCTCCAGCGTCGTGAGCCTGAATCAGGGCAACGGTGATAAAGCAATGTCTTAACGATAAGTTTGTTCACCATACAGTAATAACGGCATCGTACCTTTATCAAATACGCGATGGATATTAGGAATACGCGATTGGGTGAGCTTCGTAGTTCGTGGATAAGCCTGTACGGCAATTGCTAATTAAGCGGAGTTACACGGTCAATGTCTACAGTCTGGTTTTGGCTTGGATTTGCTGCTGGAGCCGGCAAACAGAACTTTGTTTCTGCACTCCCGCTTAGTCAAACTAGTCGTCTAACTTAACTAACTAGTTAACTAGTTAACACCCGCGGTGGACGATAATTGGTTAACTAGTTACCTTCACCCAAAATTAGTAATCCCATATTGAGAGTATTTGCCGCCCCCGGCTCCGCCTGTTTCCAAGCTTTTAGTATTAAAATATTTACCAGCCACTAATCCACTAAAAGCTGCTGGGATTAAGTGGATTTTGAATCGCTCAAAGTATGCATTTTTAAAAGTCGACTAATATTGTACACCAAAGTAGTCGACCTTTATAGCAGCATACTTTGAACGATCAAAGTTAGTGTTAGTGGGCGTAATGGTGCAGTATAGGCGAAATTCTCAATAGACCAACTACCAATTATCTGCCGCCAGGAAACCGATTACTACTTATCGGTCGAAGGCAACCAACCAACTTAACCTAAGTTAACTAACTACCGTCCCCCGTAGTTAACTAGAGTGTACGATTATATAAGCGGCAACGTGAGCTGTACCCTCTCCGCTCCGCGGTAGTCTACCCGTGCAGGCCGGGCTAATCCTGCAGCCCCGCAAGCCACCCCCCTTCTCTCCCAGGCTTACTCATGAACTGGGGGAGTTGCACATCGTCTTTCCTTCCTGCAAACTAACGGATGCCACACAACTGGTGAGCGGCAGCAGTAATTCACCTTCCATAACCGAAAGCTCATCCAATATACCACACCCAACGCGTTTTGTGGATCAAAAACATGGTCCAACCTAATGAAGCGTTCAAATGTGCGACGTGCAAACAATGCTTTTCACGCAAGTATGGCCGAAATATCCTCCTGCTCTCGAATTTTGTCGCAGGTTCTGATTTATAATCCCCATTGCAGAGACAGTATGGTTCGCCACACCGAGATTCATCGCAGAAAAAGGCCCCAGGCACGCACACGGAGGCGATCATGTTTGTTCTGCGCGAGGTAAATTTCCTTCAAGTAGAGCTTTTTCAGTTGCTCAAAGCATGCTAAACGAGATGCAATAGCGCCAAAATTAAATGTGATATCAGGTATCCGACGTGCTCATCATGCATGAAGCGTCGGATAAGCTGCAGGTATCATAAAACAACATCCGACATCGACGAGACGGGGTCTGAAGGCGGCGAAAAGCGTACAGATTCAACTGACGCTTTAGACCGCTGGTTTCCACCCCCGCCAAATCTACTCCTTGATCCAAAACCAAAAGATCCAGTCGAAGATATGTCCTTTCCGAGTCAAGCCTCTAGCACTACATGTGTGTCTACCGTGCTTCAATCAGACTGGATAGACTATCCCCAGGAAGATAGTGACCAGTGGTTCAATACGCCTGGTTTCCTCGGGGCACCAAATCCTGACTTTGACTGGACAATGCTCGAGCTTACATCCGAGCACAGAGGACAAATGTACACAGCCAATCCTGACTACGAACTATCCCCCGCCAGTTTTGTCGTCGATGAATCGAATTTGGGTTACCCTGCCCTAGACGATCTTGGAGACGAAGAACCAAGTGTCAGTAATCAGGGGATACCCACACATGTCGATCCAATATCGGAGAGGCATAAAGACCTCGAGACGTGTCCGGGACATGGATTTCTCTCAGAAATGCCATGTAGGCGAAAGCTCCGGGGACTTGGCGACTGCCAAGACGGAGCAAGAGCCTTGGCCCGGCTACCAGAAACAGAAATAACTGAGTCCGTTCGTTTGAATCTTGAAGCATGGCTTATTCGTCAACATTCGTATGCGACGGGACCCGGCTCGCAGACATTGGATATGAGTGAATTTCCCAATGCAGACAGACTCAGTCACTGTCTTGCTTCATACTTTGCTCATTTTGATCAGGTATATTGTACCCCAAGTTTATGACATCCAACCTTCGGCCTCCAAGTTCAAGCTTTATGCAGACTAACTGGAGCAGATCATACCGATCATACATAGGCCGACGTTCAACCCTGACGAATTTCCTTTGTTGACTTTCGAGATGATATGTGTCGGGGCACGCTTCAGCGGACTTCGAGGGGCAGCTGAGTTTGCCATTAGTCTTTCTGTCATTTGTTATGACCTCTTGGTCTCACTGGTATGATACAACTTTTTTCAACAGTTTTCCAAAATGAAAAATAGCTAAGAGATATCAAATCATAGATAAGAATCAACCCACGACAGCTTCGCACCGTTCCTTATCTAATATCGCTATTATTACAAGGCATCCACGGTTACTGTTGCGGCGATGGATATCTGTATGAAGCTAGCGAATCATTGAGAGGTCTACTGGTCAGATATGTGACAGATATGACAACATCCAACCCCAACAGCCAAGCTTTGGAGGCGAAGGAACACCAAGGAAAGCCTATGGCCGAAAGATGGTATCTGTGGATCAAGGAAGAGCAAAACCGGCGTCTAGCCTGGTTCGTCTACGAGTACGACTACTTCGTATTTCAGATGTATAGGACAAGGCCTTACCTCAACATCTGCGACCTTACCTCCGATTTGCCGTGTTACGCGGCTTTCTGGGAAGCAGAAACACCCCAGGCTTGGGATACGATTCAACCTTGGACCATCGTCCCGCAATCTCGACCACCCTCCGAACTTGGTTCACTTCTTGTTGGTCCTCTATCCGTCTCGCACAGCCGACTGAACTGGACCGATAAATTGCAGGCCCTCCTTATTCTGCTGCGCAGGTTTTGCAATATTATTGATCTAACAAGAGGTGATTGGGTTGGAAGATTGTGTCATTCGTACGGCTCTAAGGACGGCATTGAAGAGATATTGAAAGCCATGGATTTGCTTGCTGATGTGACTTCCAACGATCTGAAGTCGGCCCTCCTGTCGAACGAAGAGCTCGTTTGTAAAGCAAGAGCTCTACAGATGGTTCATATGGCTCACCTGCACAGTGCTGGTAGGCTGATGGTGTTAGTGAAGAAAATTTGCAACCTGGAGTTGAACCCCGACGACGCCTTCGAGGAGATTCTCAAATGGGGTAATGATAACGAACGCAAAGCTCGTGAGATTGCGTTTCATTCTGCACAAATACTCGGCATTGTGCGAAGCCACCCGCTCAACTCACCGTCCGAGATGTCGAATACTTTCAACTCTGGCATCGCTCTATTCTTCCTGTCCAAGGTTTTGGCACATCAGCGCAGAGAATTGAGTAAAAATGCCAATGCAGCGAGCTGCCTACCGCTGGATTGTGTTTCAGTAAAATCTGCAGCCAAGTCTCAATGGGTTTACGATATCAAGGCGTGGATTAATGGGCGAAGCAACGATCTGCCGACAATTGCTGGCACGACAGATATTTTGAGTGTTGGTGGCCAACAATATGTTTTGAGGTCTACTGCCAAAATGCTGGGAGGTCGGAACATATGGGGGGTCGGTCAAAAATTGTGTGGAGTTGTCGAGAACATATTAAGAAAAGAGTGCTTTTAAATAATCCCGAGTTGGGAAACAGAAAGCTAACCCAAGGGACCTGGTGCAGTCTACCTGACTGCATGGCGGTGTAGACCTCTTATATATGGGCAGTATTTGCCCCACTACCTAGACTGCACTCTCTTTTTCCTACCTAGACTGCAAGCACTTTTCTTTGTACGATCATCTTGAAATTCTTAGAAGTTTTAAGTTAATATATATTCTATATCCAGTTTGATTTTTAGCTTCTGCAGTTACCTATAGCAGCCGTACGATCTAACCCTAAATTGCTTATAACCCCCAATTCTTTTTGATGGGGTGCGACCGGGAGGGCCCACTTTTCCTGGTTAGACCTACACTAAGTCTTTTTACATAGGCTATTATTCTCGTACGACCCCTGAATATAAATCAACACTCTTTTTATAATCTCCTAACACTTTCTCGCTATTACTAATTTTTATATTTTAATATGGAGACTAATATTCCCTCCCTTACCTAGGAGCTTTTCACCCCTCTTCCCTCTCTCCCTATCCCAAGGGACCTGGTGCAGTGAGGGTCACTGCATGGCGGTGTAGAGGCCTTATGTATGGGCAGAATTTGGACCCACCACCCTCACTGCACCCTCTTTTCCTGACCTGACTGCAAGCACTTTTCTTCGTACGATTGACCTGAAAATTTCAGGTATTCTAAGTTTATATATAATCTATATCCAGTCTGACTTTTAGCTTCTACAGTCACTTATAGCAGTCGTACGATTTAACCCTAAATTGCCTAAACTCTAAATCTTTTTTGATGGGGTGCGACCGGGAGGGCCCACTTTTCCTAATTAGACCCACACTAAATTTTTTTAGAAGGCAATTATTCTCGTACGACCCCTGAATATAAACCTACACTCTGTTTATCTCCTAGCACTTTCTAGTCACCACTAATTTTGACATTTGAATATGGAGACTAATATTCCCTCCCTTACTCAAGAGCTCTTTACCCCTCTTCCCTCTATTCCTGTTCTAGTTTGTTACCACTGCCAATCAGCCGTACGAATCAGTCAAGTTATAACCCATCTTCGCTATTCTCCTCATTCTCTTCCCCCTCGTACGGCTACGCAGATTCATGAATACCTTCCTACTCTCTGGCCCCAGTTATTATCTACCTTTAATCATAACCTGATCCCTTATCAGCCCCCGCCTTTTGATCTTCTTCCTCTCTATCAAGATGGCATTCAATGCCAGCGTATCCCCTTATGCGGATATATCTGTCGTACGACGAAAGGAATGAAGGAGCACTGGCGAGTTCAACATCAATGGCTTGCTCAATCTTCTTCTCAAACATCTAATTCTCCTTCTTCTACTCTCTCTACCCAAGAGCTCCTAAAGAAGTATACTCGTCCTGTTACCTGCCAACGTTTCTATCGCCAAGGGCCTCACTCTCACTACTTTGCTGTTATACCCCCCGTACAATCAGAATCAGCAGAGCCCGACCAAACATCTTCTACCGTCAATGATCTTTTTGACCAGCTAGAAGAGCAGCACCAACAGATATTTCAACCTTCTGATCGTACGGTAGAGACAGTGGAGCTTAACGAGGCTACACCATGGCTCCGTCGTACGCGGTGGTCCCAATATCTTGCGGGCCAGCTCCCAGAGACCCTCCACTCCTTAGTGGAGCCGCCAGAGGAGGATCCCCTAGATCCATTATGGGCGATCCACCAGGCTATGGCGAATATGGCTCGTACGGCGCAGCAGATCGCAAAACAGTGTGGCCACCTTATCCGGGTAGAGGTCGTACGAACCGAGATGGACCAGGCCCCCCACACCCCGCTCCAAGCGTACATGGACCCAGAGACCATTACTCGCCATATCGCACCGTGGCAGCAGATTGTCGGCTTCTTTGCTCGTACGCAGCACCCAGTGGAGCCCTCCCACCCTGCATACCCTCACTACCGGTTCAACCACCGCCAACGAAAGGCATGGCAGGCCCTCTGGTCTCTAGCGACTAGGTCCCAATCCCCGGATCCGTACGAGAGTGATGATGCTCGTACGAGCCCTGCTTGTTCTACTCTATCCTCCCCCTTTCACTTCCAGCCGATCGAGAAAGCCTGCCTTAACTTTTGTCTGGAGCTACTGAACCAGCGGATTGGGGCGGATGAGTATGAATGTGCCCTCGTCTGCGCGCTTGCAGTGCTAGGCCGATCTCGTACGGGCTGGCATACCCCGGACTCCTTCTCTCCAATCCTCTCGCAGATCATCAAGCTCGCTCGCTTTATGGTCCTCGGCCGGGCCCTCTGGCTTGATCCCCACGCAGAGCAGATTGTACAGCACTTTCGTGGAGATTGCACTACCAACGACGATTTGGATCTAGTTAGCCCGCTCGACGATCCTGAGTATCACCTTTCGTACGAGGATGAAGGATACCAGAGTCCTTCCTCGCCGATTGCACCCTCCTCCCCTAACTCTTCGTCCCCCGCTCCTCTTCCGTTCAGCCAGCATCTCCGTAGCCGTACGAGCAAGAGCTTCCAGGAATGGGTCCATCTAATCATGAAGAGCTTTATGCTGCGTGGTACTAGTTCCCCGTTCCAGTGGATCTTAGACCTTCGTACGTATAGTATGAAGGTCAGCTTTAGCACTACGCAGCCAGGCCATATTGGCTGGCTTGGCCAGGATCGGATTCTCTATAAGCAGCTTAGCTTCACGACTAGTGATCTCCGGGGCTGGATTCATGGCCTCGTCCAGACTACCCAGGATATACTCTCGTCCGATCTTCTCCTGCTTACCTCCGCCGCCGACGCCCCTCTCGTGCCCTGGGCCTCCCTCGTGGACGATCCATCCGAGGCTAAGGCTGGGTGGAGCTTCCTGCAAGACTCTCGTACGCAGTGGCCAGTTCACGGTGATCAGTGGCTAGTGAGCCGCGTCCGCTCTAACCCTCTCCTGCAGCAGCGGTTCCTCGATACAGATCACGCCTGCTTCCGTACGACTGCCATTAAGCGATATCTCACCCAGGTCAGCCTCTTCCGTGAGAAGCTAGCGGTTCTTATCCACCTCTGCGGCGGCCAGCCCGCCCGTGGCCCCGAAATTCTCTCTGTACGACACCGCAATACAGTCAACAGCTATCGGAATATCTTTATCGAGGATGGCCAGGTTGTGATTGCGACCCGCTACCATAAAGGCTTCCACGTGAATAACGACCCTAAGATTATCCATCGCTATCTCCCTCGGGCCGTTGGCACTTTGCTCGTACGGTATCTCTGGCTAGTACTACCGTTAGTCGAGCGCTTCGATGCTTTAACAAGCCCGGTAGACGATCGGCCTACTGCTGCTCGTACGGCCCTGCTCTGGGGACCTGATCCGCTTAGCCAGCGGGCGTGGACCCCTGATCGCCTCCGGGAGGCGCTGCAACGCGAGTCTCGCCTTGGCCTGAATGGTCAGATCGTCAACATTGCTGCCTGGCGTCACATTGCCATCGCAATTAGCCGCCGCTTCCTCCGTACGAGTAGTACGTTTCCCCGGAATGCTCTTGATGAAGGGGAATCGGACGATACATTCGACGAGGAGGCCGATCTAGAGGCAAGCCACCAGGATCTCCAGGCTGGCCACTCCGCCCATGTGGCCGGCATCGCCTACGCCCGTCAGCTCCACGAGGCTCCTGGTACTCTGGCCTTTCGTCGTACGATGTTCCGCAATATTAGCCAGGATTGGCACCACTTCCTTGGCTTCCCTAGCAAGAACGCTCCTCCTATACGAGGAAACAAGAAGCGGAAATATGCTCCCTGGGAGGATGAGCAGCAGGAGAATCAGCTCACTCGCCGCTACGAGCTAGCTAACTGCGATCTGCAAGAAGCCTTACAACACTTTCTAGGTGATCCCTCCGTACGATTCCAGGGGAAGCAGTTCGAAGTCCTCCAGGCTATTCAGCACGGATTCAGCCCAATCGTGGCAGTCATGCCTACAGGGGGTGGTAAGAGCCTTCTTTTCCAGCTTCCTGCGTGGATCTCTAAGGGCCTCACCGTCGTGGTGGTACCCCTAGTAGCCCTCCGCCAAGAGTTCCAGGAGCGTTGTACGAGCCTTGGTATCAGTGGTACTCAATGGGAGAGCCACCACCCACCGGACGAAGCCTCGATCGTTCTAGTTACCCCGGAATCTGCTATCACGAGCGAGTTTCGGACGTTCCTAAACCGTCAGGTTACTCTCTGCCGGCTAGATCGGATTGTGATCGACGAATGCCACCTTATCCTCAACACCAGCGATACGTTTCGTACGCAGCTTGCTCAGCTTGGCCGCCTCCAGCATATTAATGTCCAGACCGTCTTCCTAACGGCCACCCTACCCCCAAGCCTCCATGATATATTCTGGCAGCGCCTCCACTGCACGCGCGCAGATGCCTTCTTCTGCCATGATCGTACGACCCGCCCGAATATTGCCTATCGGTCCTTCCGACCGGTGGTTGACCGTACGTATCAAGGCCACGAGCAGTGGCTCCAGGATCCCCAGATCATCCGTTTCATCCAGAGCCGCCGGCACCGTGCGAGACCAGGCCGCATTATCGTCTACGCCTCGATCGTACGGCATGTAACGCTGCTTGCCTCCCTGCTAGGCTGCGAGGCCTTTTATTCAAAGGTTGTGGAGGAGGGCGGGGTTCCTCGTCAGCAGGTTGATCAGGCAGGGATCCTTGCCCGCTTCCGTCGTACAAAGAACGCGATTCTTGTAGCGACCAGTGCCCTTGGTATGGGGATGGATATTCCCGACATCCGTACAGTGATCCACATCGGCTGGCCGTACAGTCTTCTTGACTACGCCCAGGAGA